GATCACTTGAGCCCAGGCATTCAAGACCAACCTGGGAACATATGAAGACCCCATCTCTGCAAAAAATACAAAAATTAACCAGGTGTAGTAGTGTACACCTGTAATCCCAGCTACTTGGGAGGCTGAGGCAAGAGGACCACTTGACCCTAGGAGTTCCAGGCTGCAGTGAGCCATGATCATGCCACTGCACTCCAGACTGGGCAACACAGCAAGACCCTGTCTTTAAAAAAAAGAAGACGAAAAAACTTGAACTGTACCAAAACTGGAATTCCTCCCTCAAACTCAGTAAGTAGTTCCTACCCTGTCTTTCCTTGATCTTCCTTGTAGCGTATCATCACCATTATATATGTTATTTATTTGTGTGTTTGGCATCTTTACTAGACCACAGACTCCATGGCGGCAAGGGCTTGTCCATCTTGTTTTCTGCCATATTCCCAACATCTAGAATAGTGGGCACATGGTAGATGCTCAATAAATACTTTTTATTTTTATATATTTTTGGACAGGGCCTCACTCTCTTGTTCAGGCTGGTGTAGAGCAGCACAATCATGGCTCACTGAAGGCTCAAACTCCTGGGCTCAAGCAATCCTCCCACCTCAGCCTCCTAAGTAGCTGAGAGTAGAGGTGTGCACCACCATGCTCAGCTAATTTTCAGAAAAAGATTTTTCTCTAGAGACGGGGGTCTCCCTGTGTTGCCCAGGTTGATCTTGAACTTCCGACCTCAAGCAATCCTCCTGCCTCAGCCTCCCAAAGTGCTGGGATTACTGGCATGAGCCACCACCACACTGAGCCTAATAAATACTTTTTAAATAGAGGAATGAAGGCTGGGCATGGTAGCTCATGCCTATAATCCCAGCACTTTGGGAGACTGAGGTGGGTGGATCACCTGAGGTTAGGAGTTCGAGACCAGCCTGGCCAACATAGAGAAACCCCATCTCTACTAAAAATACAAAAAAATTAGCTGGATGTGGTGGCTCATGCCTGTAATCCCAGCTATCTGGGAGGCTGAGGCAGGAGAATTCCTTGAACCCGGGAGGTGGAAGTTGCCGTGGCCCAAGATTGTGCCATTTTACTCCAGCCTGGGCGACAAGTGTGAAACTCAGTCTGTAAATAAATAAATAAAGGAATGATAATCTGGCCCTCAATGGGCTTCCCTTGTCTGCACAATAGTTTAGTATCCAAGGCCTCCTCCCTCCTTGGGCTCATCCCCCACCTATGTCTACCCATTCCCACCAGAGTGCCACAGCAGGTTCCTGAGGGGCTCCCAGTAGAGTGCTCCATTTTGAGAGCTCCCCACCCCCACCCCTGCCCCAGTGTCCTTCCTTTGTCCACTCCCTGCTGCAATCCCGCTGCAAGAACCTGTTGGAATGTCACCACCTCTGGGAAGCCACTCTGATTCCTTAACCTGCTAAAACCATGTCTGTCTCCCCAACTGCAGTGGGAACGTCTTGAGTGCAGAACAGTGGCCCCAGAGCACGGTTTCCCATTTAATGTTTGATGAATGAATGAATGATTAAATGAGAAAAATACTTAGCAGAAAAGCAGAGTTTAAAGTGAAGGGCAAGGCCGGGTGCAGTGTCTTATGCCTGTAATCCCAGCACATTGGGAAGCCGGTAGATCACTTGAGTCCAGGAGTTCGAGACCAGCCTGGGCAACATGACGAAACCCCATCTCTACCAAAATACAGAAATTAGCCAGGAGTGGTGGCTCATGCCTGTAGTCCCAGCTACTCAGGAGGCTGAGGAGGGAGGTTCGCTTGAACACGGGAGGCGGAGGTTGCAGCGAGCTGAGATTGTGCCATGGACTCCAGCCTGGACAACAGAGTGAGACTCCATCTCAAAAATAAAAATAAAACAAAAAAAAGCCGGGCACAGTGGCTCACACCTGTAATCCCAGCACTTTGGGAGGCCAAGGCAGGTGGATCATTTGAGGTCAGGAGTTCAAGACCGGCCTGACCAACATGGTGAAGCCCATCTCTACTACAAATACAAAAATTAGCCGGGAGTGATGGTGGGTGCCTGTAATCCCAGCTGCTCAAGAAGCTGAGGCAGGAAAATCAGTTGAACATGGGAAGTGGAGGTTGCAGTGGGCCTAGATTGCACCACTGCACTGCAGCCTGGGCGAGAGAATGAGACTCAGCATGAAAACAAACAAACAAACAAACTAAAAAAGAGAGTGAAGCGAAAGGCACACATTCTTTTTTTTTTTTTTTTTTTTTTTTAGAAATGAAGTCTCCCTATGTTGCCCAGGCTGGTCTTAAACTCCTGGCCTCAAGCAATCCTCCATCCTTGGCCTCCCGAACTGCTGGATTATGGGTATGAGCCACTGTGCCTGGCCACATTTATTTCTTTATTCATTTTTCATGCTACTATTTAATATGTGTCTCAATGAGTGATGCTTGGTGTGACACCAGGGCTCTCAGAGGGCAGGAGCTGAGCCTCCCTTTCCTGCCCTCTCCCCACGGGGCCAGACACTGGGCTCCGGGGGCATACGTGTGACCCACCCCACTGACTCACCCTCCAGGCTAGACCAGGAGTCAGGCAGCCTCCCCTGTCACTTGTCATCTCTGGGCAAGTTCCTCTAGCACTTACATCCTTGCTTTTCCTATGTCAAATGGGACCCCATCAATGCCCATTCTGTGGGGCACCCAAAGTTGAAGCCGGGACAACTGGAAGGGGGTGTGGCTGTCCCCCCTGCCAGGCCACATCGGACCGTCTTGGGCCAGATTTTCCAGGGAAGAAGGGAAAGCTGGAACAGTGTCCCTAGCTTGCCTGGCAGCCAGCTAACCTGTGCCCATAGTCTGGGAGAGGTGCCAGGCCCAGATACACTGGGCAGCAGGGGGCTGGATTGGCTCCAGAGCTCCCATGCTTTGGCAGTCCTGGGTAAGTGAAGGGGTGTGCTTGGCTTAGGGTCAAGAGGGTGTGGGCCACAGAAGCGACAGCTGGGGGTGGTGGAGGGCACCGCGGGCTTATGGGGGTGTGTGCGAGACCACTGTTGCAACAAGATGCTGGCAGGGACCTTCCAAAGAACATCTGCTGTTGACTGCCCCCCCACTCCCACTCCTCCACAGGTTTTCCCATGAGTCCTAGAGGAAGCCAGGCCCCAGGCTTCTAGACAGAAAATAGAACCTACCTTGGCCAAGCACAATCTCAGTGCTTTGGAAGGCCAAGCCAGGAGGATCGCTTGAGGCCAGGACTTTGAGACCAGCCTGGGCAACACGAGGAGAACCCGTCTCTCCAAAAAGGAAAAAAGAGAAAATAGAACCTCAGGCCTAGAGCCAGAGCTCAGGACTGGGGATGCAGGGAAAGGAGAAGGAGAGGGGGCTAAAATTCACATCTCTTTCCCAAAGATAGAGGAGTTCCTGACTGAGTACAGTGGCTCACACCTGTAATCCCAGCACTCTGGGAGGCTGAGGCGGGCAGATCGAGGTCAGGAGCTTGAAACCAGCCTGGCCCACATGGTGAAATCCCGTCTCTACCAAAAATACAAAAAAATTAGTCAGGTGTGGTGGCGGGTGCCTGTAATCTCAGTTACTCGGGAGGCTGAGGCAGGAGAATTGCTTGAACCCGGGAGGCGGAGGTTGCAGTGAGCCAAGATCGTGCCACTGCACTCCAGCCTGGGCAACAGAGAGAGACTCCATCTCAAAAAAAAAAAAAAAAAAAAAAAAAATTAGGCTGGGTGTGGTGGCTCACGCCTGTAATCCCAGCACTTTGGAAGGCCGAGGCAGGCGGATCACAAGGTCAGGAGTTCGAGACCAGCCTACCCAACATGGCGAAACTCCATCTCTACTAAAAATACAAAAAATTAGCCAGGCGTGGTGGCAGGCATCTGTAATCCCAGCTACTTGGGAGGCCGAAGCAGGAGAATCACTTGAACTCAGGAGGCGGAGGTTGCAGTGAGCCGAGATCGCGCCACTGCACTCCAGCCTGGGCAACAAGAGCAAAACTCCATCTCATAAGTAAATAAGTAAGTAAGTAAGTAAGTAAATAAATAAATAAATAAATAAATAAAAATAGAGGAGTTCCTGCATCCTGCAGGAAAAAGGGGTGGGTCACACAGCATCAGAGCTGCGAACTGAGAAATCCTAGAGAAAGAAGGAGCCAGTGCCTGAGTCCCAACTGGATGATGGGAGCAAGGGGGAAGGGTGGAGGCTCCCAGGCTGGAACTCTCCGGGAGGTTTTTGGCTGGGGAACAGAAGGGAGTGCAGGAGGTCCCAAGGGAATGAAATGAAGGAGGGAGTTACAGCCTCCAGCAAATTCTGGGGAAGTGAAGGGATCTGGGGATGAGGACCAGATTCTGGGACAGGAATGTTAAGCAGCTAAGTAGGGAAGAGGCTGGAAGCCGGGCACGGTGGCTCACGCCTATAATCTCAGAGCTTTGAGAGGAGGGAGGATCACTTGAGGCCAGAAGTTCGAGACCAGCCTGGGTAACACAGCAAGACTCTGTCTCTACAAAATATTTGAAAATTATTCAGGAGTAGTGGCGAGCAACTGTAGTCCCAACCACCCAGGAGGCTGAGGCGGGAGGACTGCCTGAGCCCAGGAGCTCAAGGCTGCAGTGAGCTACGGTTGCACCACTGCACTCCAGCCTGGGCGACAGAGCGAGACCCTGTCTCAAAAAATAATAAAAAATGAGACGGAGCTGGGGCAGAGGAGGCAGTAGGGTCTCTGGGGACCCATGCCCGGGAGCGATCACCCGTGCGGAACGTCCAGGAGGAGACCCCAGGGCTTCGACCCCCACGGGGCTGCTCTTGTGGGGTGGGGCGGGGTCGGGGCGGGGTATGGGCGGGGCCCGGGCGGGGTGGGGCGGAGCCGGGGTCCCGGGGGCCGGGGCGGGGCCGGGGCGGGGCCGGGCTGGTGCTGCGCAGCCGCGGGGCGGCCGTCGCGCATGCGGGGCTCACACGGCTGCAGCCGGCGCCGCTGCCACTCCCGGGAGCATGAAGGACCGAACCCAGGAGCTCCGCACGGTGAGTCCGGCCCCCGTGTGCGGCCGCCCGGCGCCCGCGCCAACGCGCCGAATACTCCCAGCCCGGCTCCCGCGGCCAGGAGGGCGGCCACTCCTGCGCCCCCAGCCGCGGCTGGAGGGAGCGGGGCGAGCCGGGGACCCTGACCCCCTCCGGGTTCCGCCCCTCGGACCCACTCGGGGTCACGGGCTCGCGTGAGCTCGGCCGCGCTGACAAGTGGACGGTCGGCTGGAGTCCGGGGTCCTGGATAAACTTTTCGGGGCCCCCTTGATTTGGGGGGTTCAGAGGGTATGATGGGGTTTCGGTGGCGGGACCTCTTCCCCCTCCCGCAGAGCAGGCCCTGTCTCTGGCCCCCCCACTGTCCCTCATCTCTGACCTCTCGTCCCCTCTCGGTGTAGACAGACGAGGGGACAGCGGTGGGAACCCCCTTAGTGTAGATAGACGAGGGGACCGCGGTGGGCCGGGGCCGGACCCCTGAGCGAGGCCCCCTCTGCGGGGCGCGCTGCGGAAACCTCGCCTTCGGGTGGGGGCGGCCTCCTCATGCCGCCCTGGTCACCTGTGGCTCCCATCACCTGTGGCTCCCCCTCTGCTAGGTCGCGGTAGGGATCCACTGCCCTCCCCAGGTCTGGGGATGGGGGGCGGTCACACCCACCCCCGGTCCACCTGTCCACCTTCGGGCTTCTGGGCAGCCCTGGCTGGCGTTTCAGACCCTTCAGGGTTCCTTGAGACTTGAATCTATTTTTCCACCTGTATCTCAGAAACCCCTGGGGTGTGGCTCCTGGGGCGGGGTTTGAGGGAAGTAGGAGGATGCACAAATGTTCTGAGTCAGAACCCACCCTCTCCCAGCCCAGAGACCCCTGCAGCCTGCGTGGGTCCCCTTCCCCTGGCCTCTGCCCTTAGGAATGAGGAGCCCAGGAGAATGGTGACCGGGAGTGGAGGACAGTGACGGAAATGAAGCCTTCCTGGGTGTGTCCCGTGGGGCGGGGGGGGGATCAAGGCTCAAGACTAGATTGAGTCTCATCTGGTCATCTGGTCCCCTGGCTGGCCACCTGGCTGGCAGCCCTGCCTGCTGATCCCCGGGAGCCTCCCCAACCCCACCCCAAACCTGCGCCCTCAGCTAGGAACTAGAACCCTGAGGTCCCCTCCCGTGGAAAATGTCAAGTGTCCTTTGGGTGTTTGACCCCACGGCTTGTCTCCTCGACCCAGAGGCTCCCTGAGTTGGAGCCTGTCTGCCCCATTATGTCATGGTTGCCTCCTGGGCATCCTGGAACCGGGACCTGGGCTCTCCTGCTTTCATCTCCCTGACTTGCTCTGGCACCACAGCCTACACTTTGCCTCCAGACCTGCTATTCCTGGCCCAGCGCCCGGACCCTGAGGTAAACCCCATGAGGTTTCAAAGGAAGAAGATGGTCCCTCAAGTCGCATATGGACTCTAAACACTTCCCCCGCGGCCCCTGTGGTTGCCCTCAAGTTTCCTGAGCTCCGTTGAGTCAGAATGAGTGTTTTCCTGGTGATGGATGACTGTGTGGTGTAATTTGCTGATGTTTGGGCGCCTGGTAGGTTATGCGAGGGTATGTGTGGGAACCAAGTGGTCAGGGGAACCATGGGCCCTTACATAGGATAACAGCCTCTGGCATGTCAGCCTTCATCGCCCTAGCTGAAGGGGAAACTGAGGCACAAAGGAGACGCGGCTTGCCTGCTAGAGGGAGGGGTGGTAGAAAAGGGCTTTGCCTCATCCCTGAAGATAGACTCAGGCCTGGCTGGCACTGGGGGAAAGCCAGTGGAGCTGGGGTTGTGAAGCGTTTGAACCCAGATCTTTTTGCTCTGACGTCTGTCTCTGTTACTATCTCCTCGCCCCCTGATTAGATGGTGAAGCCAGGCTTTGGTTTGAATGGTCTGAGGCTTCCGCTCCAGACGCCCCCACCCTCCCCACACAAGGCATTCAGAGCCCGGGGAGGCTGTACCCATTGCTGGGTGGCCCTGCCCAGGGAGAGCTTTCTAGCAGACGGGAGGACGGCTGGCAGGAGCCCACACGGGGTGGGATGAGACAGTCGGTCTTGGTGGGGCGGCCATTCCCACAGGGCTGCTTTCCCTCTGGACCTGAGGTTCCCATCTGTGAAGTGGGGATGGGAAAGCCTAGAATTTAGTTTCTCCGGGCAAGAGGCGGGACCACAGGTCTCCTGACTCCAGCTCCGCATTTGTAGGAGATCTGAAACCCCAGGAGTCAGAATGTTCAGCCCAGAATCCCCAGGAAGGAAGAGGCCAGCACTGGCTGAGCTGGACTGGACTAGACTGGGCTAGACTGGGCTAGACTGGGCTGGACTGGGGCCGGCTGGGCTGGGCTGAACAGAGATGGTGCTGGGGACAGCGGCTATGCACTGCTCCCAGCCCCCCCCCCCTCCCCCTTCCTCCTCCTCCTCCCTCTTTCTCCTTCTCCCCCACCCAACGCCACCACATTTGGAAGGAGGCGAAGGGAGCTTATTTATAAAAGTCACACTTGGGGAAGGAGCTGGCGCGTTTCCTCACTCTGCAGGCCCGGCCCAGCCCTCCAGCCTTCTCCAGCCTTCTCTAGCCTTCTCCAGCCTTCTCCGGCCTTCTCCAGCTCCCACCTCTCCCTCTGCAGACGGGGAGTGAAGGGGGTCACTGGGGACTAGCCAGGAGGCCTCAATGCTGTTGCAGGTCCTCAGAGATCAGAAAGGTCATTTGCAGGTTACAGGTGGCAAAGAGAGACTGAAGACAGGGCCAGGATCACACAGCCAGGGAGAGACTTTTGGGTTAGGGCATCCCCAGGGAGCCCTACTTGGGCTGTAGCTGCCTCCTCCCCTCAACTCAGAGGCTCCCTGATTTTCTTCCTGGGGACTTTGCAGAGCTGACCTGTCCCTCCCTGGGCCCAGAACGGTGTTTGTCTATGTGCCAGGTCATGTGGGACAGACACATGGGACCTGTTGCAGGAGGCTGAGGACGTAGCAAGGAGTGAGAGTTGGAGCAGCACAATCCTGGAAGGCTTCCTGGAAGAAGAGACCCTGGGATAGCCCAGGAGCAGGAGCTGGATTTGAACAGGAGGAGAGATGGTGATCCAAAGGAGGGGACAGCTTAGTGAAGGCAGAGAGTTTGGAATACCCAACCAGGAAAGAATAGCAGGTGGTCCTGACAGCTGGTGTCTGGGGCCCCCTGAGTTGCCTTGAGGTCTAGACCGGGGCCCAACTCACTGGAGCAGCCCGTGAGGGCCCAACTCACCAGGCAGACCTGGATGGGCAGGCCCAGGGCCCTGCTTTGCCCACCAGTTCCCCTTCTCTCTCTCGTTGCTGGGAAGAGTCTGGTGGTTGGGAGGCAACACCAGGCAGGTTCATCCTTAATCTGCCTCAGCTCACTTCCTCATCTGCAGAATGGAGCCAGTGTTACCTGCCTTGCAGAGTGGCAGGCATGAGGGTGTAAGAACAGGAGTCAGACAGGGCTCCCCCAATCCTTCCTCCATTACCTCCCAGGGGTTTCCCAGCATGAACGATGCATTTGGGTACATTTTCATCTGGGGTGCAGATGGAACGGCTTCCTGGGACCATGTAGTTCAACCTCCTATCTTACAGGTCAGAAAACAGGTCCAGAAAGGGCCAGGTGTTTATCTGAGGCCACGAAGCCTGTGGGGGCAGAGCCTGGCCCCTTCCATGGCCTGAAGCTGCCTCCCTGAGCCGCTCTGGGGCCCTGTGAAGGGGCAGACTCTGCAGGGCGGGGAGCTGGTGTACACAGACCTGGAGGCTGGGGACAGGGTGAGGAGACTCAGATTGCACAGCCGTCTTTCCTGGAGACCCAGCTTGGCCTCTCGCACACCCCTGACTCAGCTCCGGGCCTCTCTGCACTAGTGATATTGACTTTGATTAGTCATTTAAAAGCAGAAGGGAAAAAAATAGCGCTTGAGGCAGACAACAGCCACCGTGCTCAGCAGTGATGAATCAACCTCACCGGCCTGATGCCTCCCCTGGGATAGGCCTGGAGGCTGCCTGGCCTGTGCGCCTCTTGGAGGAGTCAGACTGTTGCATCCAGGAGGGTGTCCTGGAATCCTGGAGTCTCTGCTAGGAGAGACCACCAGGGCTGCCCCGCCTCTGCCAGGGGAAGCTCAGGGCATCCAACCCCCCGTGGTTCCAGCAAGTTCCGGTCTTCCTAGCAGTCTCCATGGTAGGGAGGTAAGGAAGCACTCCCTCCCAGCCTTTCTGGTTGGAGGTGGTGATTTTTTTGTTGCTGTTTTTTTGTTTGTTTGAGACGGAGTCTCACACTGTTGCCAGGCTGGAGTGCAGTAGCACGATCTCAGCTCACTGCAGCCTCCACCTCCCAGGTTCAAGTGATTCTCCTGCCTCAGCCTCCTGAGTAGCTGAGACTACAGGTGTGGCATGCCCGGCTAATTTTTGTATTTTTAGTAGAGACGGGGTTTCGCCATGTTGGCCAGGATGGCCTTGATCTCTTGACCTCCTGATCTGCCCGCCTCGGCCTCCCAAAGTGCTGGGATTACAGGTAAGCCACTGCACCTGGCCAATTTTTTTGTTGTTGTTGTTGAGACGGAGTCTCGCTCTGTCACCCAAGCTGGAGTGCAGTGGCACGATCTCGGCTCACTGCAACCTCCACCTCCCAGGTTCAAGTGATTCTCCTGCCTCACCCTCCTGAGTAACTGGGACTACAGGCATATACCACCACACCCGGCTAATTTTGGTATTTTTAGTAGAGATGGGGTTTTGCCATGTTGACCAGGCTGGTCTTGAACTCCTGACCTCAGGTGATCCACCCACCTTGGCCTTCCAGAATGCTGGGATTACAGGCATGAGCCACTGCACCCAGCTACCCCTCTAAATTTTGATTCAGTCTCTTTGGGATAGATCCCTGGAAGCTGCTTTTTGTTTGTTTGTTTTTGTTTTTTCTTTTTTTTAAATCCCCCCAAAGGATTCTGGTGCTCACCCAGCTTTGAGAACTGCTGAATGCAGAATTAAAAAAACACCAGGATGTTAGCTGGGCTTGGGGGCTCACACCTGTAGTACCAACTACTTGGGAGGCTGAGGCGGGAAGATGGCTTGAGCTCAGGAGTTTGAGACCAGCCTTGAGAAACATAGTGAGACAACCATCTCTACAAAAATTTAAAATTAGCCAGGTGTGGGAGCAGACACCTGTAGTCCCAACTACTCTGGAGGCTGAGGCTGGAGGATTGCTTGAGCCTGGGAGATCAAGGCTGCAGTGGGCTATGATCTTTCCACTACAGTCCAGTCTGGACAACAAAGCGAGATCCTGTCTCAAAAAAAAAATAAGGGCTGGGCGCAGTGGCTCATGCCTGTAATCCTAGCACTTTGGGAGGCCGAGGGAGGCGGATCACCTGAGGTTAGGAATTCAAGACCAGCCTGGCCAACATAGTGAAACCCCATCTCTACTAAAAATACAAAAACTAGCTGGGTGTGGTGCGGGCGCCTGTAATCCCAGCTACTTGGGAGGCTGAGGCAGGAGAATCCCTTGAACCTGGGAGGCGGAGGTTGCAGTGAGCCTAGATTGCGCTACTGCACTCTAGCCTGGGCAACAGAGTGAGATTCTGCCTCAAAAAAAATAATAATAAGAAAAAAAAAAAAGTGCCAGGATAAATTGGATGTTGGTTGGATGGGAGAAGAGGAGGAAGATGGCAGATGTCCTAGGTTTCCGGCTTGGGGGCCCTGGAGCACCTTGGGGTTCTGCGCTAGGCAGTTCAGAGGAGGCGACTCTGGCAAAACAGGTGGAGCCTGGTCTTGGCCAGGAGGCAGGCAAGGTGCCCGTATGATATCTGGGCACATCCGTCCGTAAGACACTTGGGCCTTTGCGTTTGTGCCCCACGGTTCCAGCTGCCACCTGCACAGCGGAGGGTTCCAAGTCCCCAACTCCAGTCCAGCCCCCTCTCCAGAGCTGTAACTGATGCTCAGAACGCATTGGTAGATCCCCAAGGGAGCTGGGCCCTAATTATTCCACAGAAATCTGGGTGTCTGCTTTTTTTTTTTTTTTAAGACAGGGTCTTGCTCTGTCACCTAGGCCGGAGTGCAATGGCACAATCATAGCTCACCTCCAGGGCTCAAGCAGTCCTCCCACCTCAGCCTCCTGAGTAGTTGTGATTACAGATGCATGGCACCACGCCCAGCTACTTTTTGTATTTTTTGGTAGAGATGGGGTCTCGCTATGTTGCCCTGGCTGGTCTCAAACTCCTGGACTCAAGTAATCCTTCCACCTCGGCCTCCCAAACTGCTGAGATTACCGGTGTGAGCCATCATGCCTGGCTGCTTTATGTATCCAGTGGTCACCCTGGCCAGCCCAAGACACCAGGAAGACGGCATGCCAGGATAGCCACATCACCTAGTTACATTTTGGTCAAGAGTGTGTCTGGGCTGGGAAACAGAGGAGGTGAGGATGGCAATGGGGCTCTGCCATCCCGCATCCTTATCAGTTTATTCCATGTCCAATGAGAACCGATTACATGCCAGAGTTAATTTGGAGGACATCTCTAGAATGTTGCCACCAGGCTCTGGCTTGGATGTGGATGGGGATGCAGGGGGCAACAGAGTCAGGAGCCATCAGAATCCCACAAACTGAAATAAGCATCGGAACAAATGAAGAAACAGAACCCTTTACTCAAACCCCAAATCCACTCCACAGACAGTGGTTGGGAAGGGCCTGGGGCTTTTCTTGACAGGAAATGCTACGTGATCACTTATCTGATCACTGGCTATATTAATAGAGGTAGATCATATAGAAAGAGGGAGGGGATGGGCCAGATCTTTAGCATTGCCCAGACCACAGTCAGCAGCAGATTCAGTTTGTGTGCTGTACGACAGGAGACAGAGGCACAGTGGAACAAGTCTTGGGCAGGGGCTGTAATGTGGGGTCCCTGGAAAGGATCTGAAAGGGAAGGAATACTTGAGAAGAAAAATCTAGGGAGGATGTGGATGCCACCTTCAGATCTATAGCAGGGGCACCCCAGGGAGAGCACCCACAGGTTCTTTATGGCCTGGAACCAAACCACAGGAAAGAGAAGGACTCTAACAGTTGGGGCTGCCCGAGATGGGTAGAGCTGTTTGGGGAAGCTAGTGAGCTCACCGTCACAGGAGGTATGCAAGCTGAGGCTGGAAGCTGAAGCCAGGGGGACTTTTCAGGTCCCTTAGGGCCTGAGAGTCTTCACTCATGGCTCCAATAGGAATGTGAATGGTGTGTGGAAGACCAAGATGCGAGATACTGATCTGGGGGGACAGGGAGGCTTGTGGAAGGAGGTGGCATCGAGGAAGAGGGGAATGTCACCTTCATGGAATCAGCATCCCGGGCAGAGGGATGTGCCTGGGGGAAGCCTGGGGGCAGAGGGTGGATCGTAGGGCCAGGAACCGGTTGTAGGTGTGGTGGAGTGGGGTCTGATCCCAGGTGAGGGCAGCGGGATAAAGAGCAGAGCTGGGGGTGAAAATTCCCAAGAATGAAGTAGGAGGATGTGGGGAGGAAAGGCCCCCTCGGCCCATCCCCTCTAGTTTTGCTCCGAGCCGTGGCTGGTTTGACCATGCCTCAGAGGTCAGGCCCTCAGCCCTCCGACTGGCTTTGGGGCTAATCTCAATGTCACCTGCAGGGTAGACTTGACCGGGGTGCCCCCCTCAGAGCCTGGCCCTGGTCTCCCTTTCCCCAGCCCCACCCTCATAGACGGAGGGTCCAGAGGAGGATGTGAGCATCTCCCTTGCCAGCCCTTCTGTTAGAGAAGCTTCCTGGTCCAGCCTTCAGCCTTTGGGGAAGATAGCAGGTCAGAGCTGGCCGGATGCCTGGAGACAATCTGCCCCCATTACACAGATGGGCAAGCTGAGGTCAAGAAAGGCACCAGACAGGGGCCAGGGGTCTCTGAGGGCAGGACGGGTTCAGTGGGGCTGGTAGTGACACTTGTCCCTGGCCATGGGAAGGGAGCTGGATCATTCTCCATCCACCCTTTGTCATCTACCCTGATCCTCTGAGCACCAGGGCCGAGAGGGCAGGACGCTGGATGGCAGAAGCTCCTGGGGCCACTTCCCAACCTGGCAGCCTGCCCAGGAAGAGGAACTGAGCTCCTCCTGGCAGCGCTCTGCCTCAGTTTCCCTAGGGAGGGCTCCTCTGACTCAACTCCTAGGCCTGTCACGGTCTAGAAGCGTGAAAACAGCTGGATTTTCTGTGTCTGTAGGGAGCTTGGTAGGGGAGGGGGTACCACCTGGTGACAGCTGAGGCACTCGGTGGGGAGTGGGAACGAGGATTTATTTTAGCTGCTGGGGAGGTAGTGTGATATCTTAAAGAGAGGAGGCCCCTCTGAGCCGCCTCTGTCAAAGCTCCTAACTACCCCCTCTCCCGATGAGTCCCCACTTTGATGGGGTCATGGGAGCTGTAAGCCCCAGGGGCACAGCCCCTCACGGAACATGCCCAGGCCGGGCGCGGTGGCTCACACCTGTACTTCCAGCACTTTGGGAGGCCTAGGTGGGAAGATCACTTGAGCCCAAGAGTTCGAGACCAGACTGGGCAACATAGTTGGACCCTGTCTCTACAAAAAAAAAAAATCAAAAACTTAGCTGGGTGTGGTGGCATGCATCTGCAGTCCCAGCAGCTTGGGAGGCTGAGGTGAAAGGATGTCTTGAGCCCAGGAGGTCGAAGCTGCAGTGAGTTATGTTTAAGCCACTGCACTCCAGCCTGGGTGACAGAGAGAGACCCTGTCTCGATCAATCAATCAATCAATCCATTCATCAGTCAAACAAACATACATGCCCTGCTTCCCTACTCTTTCTCAGCCCTGCCTCCATGCAGCCAGGTGTCACTGTCCCCATTTCACAGAAGAGTAAACAGAGCCAGAGGGGTCAAGGCCCAGCCTGATGAGTCCCCTCAGCTCTCTCAGCCCCTCAACCTCCGCCTGCCTCCATCCTGATGAGAGAGCACCAAGGTGGGCCGAGCCAGGCAGTGGCCGCTCCCATGAGGCACTCAGAAATGAGGTGGGAACAAGACCAGATGCGGTGGCTCGTGCCTGTAATCCCAGCACTTTGGGAGGCCAAGGTGGGTGGATCACCTGAGGTCAGGAGTTCGAGACCAGCCTGGCCAACATAGTGAAACCCCGTTCTCTACTAAAAATACAAAAATTAGCTGGGCATGGTGGCGTGCACCTGTAATCCTAGCTACTTGGGAGGCTGAGGCAGGAGAATTGCTTGAACCCAGGAGGTGGAGGTTGCAGTGAGCCAAGATCGTGACACTGCACTCCAGCCTGGGTGACAGAGCAAGACTATCAAAAAAAAAAAAAGAGGTGGGAACAAGCCCTGAACCCCAGGCTGAGAGACCTCAGTCCCTGCCCCAGCGTGACCATCCCGGATATCCTTGCCTTGGCTGCGGAGAGAGACCTGGCCTTGCCAGCAGGGTGGGCTGACCCTGGCCGACTCATGGTGTGAGGCAGACAGTAATGATTGTGCCCGGCATGCCGAGAAGTCAGAAGTAGAATTACCCCTACTCCGTGATGGGGGCGGCTTTTGTACAGCTGCTCCTGGGGCAGTGGGGTGGGGCCTGCACCTGTGGCTGAGGCCTAAGGCAGGACCCGAGCCAAGTGGCAACATGACTGCCTCCCGTGCCTGCTGGGCCTAGGTCTGGGACTGGAAGGAGGCAGGCCAAGGTCCAATGTCAAGACCGACAGGGAGGCCAAGAGCAGTGGCTCACACCTACAATCCCAGTGCTTTGGAAGGCTGAAGCAGGAGGATTGCTTGAGGCCAGGAGTTCAAGACCAGCCTGGGCAACACAGTGAGACCCTGTCTCTTCAAAAATAAAAATTAAATGTAAAGAACTATTTTTAAAAAAAGACTGACAGGAGCTGGGCGTGGTGGTTCACGCCTGTAATCCCAGCACTTTGGGAGGCTGAGGCAGGCAGATCAAGAGGTCAGCAGATCAAGACTATCCTGGCTAACACGGTGAAACGTCTTCTCTACTAAAAATACAAAAAATTAGCCGGGCATGGTGGCGGGTGCCTGTAGTCCCAGCTACTCGGGAGGCTGAGGCAGGAGAATGGCGTGAACCTGGGAGACGGAGCTTACAGTGAGCCGAGGTGGCACCACTGCACTCCAGCCTGGGCGACAGAGCAAGACTCTGTCTCAAAAAAAAAAAAAGAAAAGAAAAAGAAAAAAAAGACTGACAGGAGATTCTTAAGAGATATGATCCATCCCTCTTCGGGGCTGGGGTTTAGTGGTGCCCAGGCCTGGGACAGAGTGGGCAGGTCTACCCTTGCAGGGCCCACTCTGGAAAGGGAGCTTGGGACCTCTGGGCTCCACCTGAATTAAAACCACTGGGGCCAGGCGTGGTTGTACACACCTATAATTCCAGCTACTCGGGAGGCTGAGGTGGGAGGATTGCTTGAGCCCAGGTGTTCAAGGCTGCAGTGAACTGTGATTGCACCACTGCACTCTAGCCTAGGTGACACAGCAAGACCTCAACTCTAAAAATGTGTGTATGTTTGTGTGTGTGTGTGTAAACCACAGGGCCAAAAGAGTAGAGAATGCACTTTCCAGGCAGCTGTTCCAGGGGCCTAGGAGACCCAGAGGGCCCAGACAGAGCGGCTGGCCCCAGGCTCGCTTGCCTCCCCAGCTGCAGGGAAGGGGCAGGCGGATAGGCAAGGGAGGAAGTCCCTGGCCTGGAGGCTGAGACTTGGCCTTGACACCAGTGTGCCAGGCAAGGTCCCTGTCTCTGTGCCAGGTCCCCAGCAGTCCGCCAGATCTTACTGTGGCTGGGAGCGGAGGGCACAGCCAGGCCTGTTCTTGTCCCTGCCCAGAGGCCGCGAGGGGGAGGGGTGGGACCCTGGCGCTGCACCCTGGGCACCTGTGTGTGTAGAGGCAGGTCCTGTACATACGTCCGTTCATGTGTGCACAACCCCACACAGGCCAAGGACAGCGATGATGATGATGATGTCACTGTCACTGTGGACCGAGACCGCTTCATGGATGAGTTCTTTGAACAGGTGGGAGCCAGCACACCCCACCCTTCCTGCACACTGGCAGACTTTGGGGGGCCACTCTCACCTCTGAGCCAGGTTCAGGGATCTTTCACACCTGCACCTGGCTCAGCAGCTCCAGGGTGCCAACGAAGGAACTGTTTTGTGGGTGATAAATGGAAGCTCAGAGCGGAGCTAAATGTGAGATCACACTCCTCCCCATCCGGGTCGGAAGGACGCACCCCCACTGCACCCCAGCACCCGGAGCCTGGCCCGTCCTCCTCCTGAGCCCTGACCGCAGCCCTACTCTGGGCCATGCCTGGGCCCCAGAAGCCTTCTCCCCCGATTTCCTCCTCCTGATCACCCGGCCTTGGTCCGCAGGTGGAGGAGATTCGAGGCTTCATTGACAAGATCGCAGAGAACGTGGAGGAGGTGAAGCGGAAGCACAGTGCCATCCTGGCCTCCCCCAACCCCGATGAGAGTGAGTATATGGGGTGGGGGACAGGTTTCAGGCCCCACAGGCCTCCGGGAGGGGCTGCTGCCGAGGAGGCCTCACAGGACCTCAACAGCCTTCATGGCTGGTGGGCGTAGGAGTGCCTGGATAGGCCAGGGTCAGGAGAATATCAGGAGAAGCCTTAGGAAATGCAGCTGTCCCCAGCCTGGAATTGGGGAGTCAGAACCCAGCATCCCAGGCCGGCCAGACCAGGTCTCCCCGAAGACCTGGGTGATGGGAGAGGCGATCGGCCCCACCCGTCTCAGGTGAACTGGCTTTTTTTTTTTTTTGAGACGGAGTCTTACTCTGTCACCAGGCTGGAGTGCAGTGGCATGATCTCAGCTCACTGCAACCTCTGCCTCCTGGGTTCAAGCGATTCCCCTGCCTCAGCCTCCCGAGTAGCTGGGACTACAGGCGCCCACCACCACACCCGGCTAATTTTTGTGTTTTAGTAGAGACGGGGTTTCACCATGTTGGCCAAGACGGTCTTGATCTCCTGACCTCGTGATCCGCCTGCTTCGGCCTCCCAAAGTGCTGGGATTACAGGCATGGGCCACTGCGTCTGGCCGAACTGGCTTTTTTCTAAGGCAACTGGGCTGGCTGCAGCCCTGGGCTTTTGAGAGCAAGGGAAGGAAGGAGGGAAGGAGGGAGCTGTCTGTGATCAATAGGAAGGCCTCTCAGTCCAGCCCCGCCCCGCCCCTCGCCTCCCAGGGGAGCAGATGGCAGCTCTGAGGCGTCAGCGCTGTGGGAGGGCAAGCTGGCCAAGCAAGCAGAGCTTCCGGAAGGAGCTGGCAGCCCTGGCAGCTGGCCACGTGGCACCCCGGGGCGGGCATTCTCAGGGCTCTAGGAAGTCAGCCCTCTCCCTCCGCACTGGGAGCCTGTGTGTCAGGCTTGCGCTCCGGCCCCAGACAGGTCCCCCCAACCCGGTCCTCACGTTCCTGTTGAGATGTTGGTTACTACACTGAGAGGCGCCAGGCTGATGGCATAGGTGCCCTCCCCTGGAGGGGGGCTCACCCTGAGTCCCAGGGATGCAGCCGTCAGGTGTTTGAGGGAGGCAGGCCCTGGCCACGCAGGTGCCCGAGGTCAGATTTTCTTCTCGCCTCCAGCACGGCCTCCCGGTCTGTGACCCCTGACCCCCAAGCCCACGGGCACCTTCAAGAACCCAGCGCAGATCTTTCCACAGCCCCAGATTGTGCATGAACCCAGGTCAATGCCGCACCAACTAAGCCAGTGCCCCGCCCTCAGAAGGCAAGATGGGTCAGGTGGGAGCAGGGTGGACTGCCTCAGGAAGGGCAGGAGGGAGAGAGGGACGCCCAGGGCTCACCACGCTGCGCTCCTCGCCCGAGAGATTTGTTGGATGGCAGCATGAGACGGATGTCTGTGCGCCCAGAGGTATCTGGGTCACCGTGTGTCCCTGTGTGGGCTGTTGCTGCTCAGGGTCAGGAGGTGGCTGACTGTGGGGTGGAACGGAGGGCTCTGAAGAGCAGGGGAGTGGGCCTCTCGCTGCTGGCAGGTGGGGCGGGCATGGGGCAGCAGAGCTGTCTGCTCCACACCTAGGGTCCTGCAGGCCACCTCCTGCACCGTCTCCCGCTGCGGTGTCATGCACAGTCATAGGGACCGGTTCTGAGTCACCACCCGTGAGCAGAGCAGTCCCAGGCTCTCGCTAAGGGGAGGGGGCTCATGTTGGGGGTTCTAGGGCACAGGCGGTACAGAGTTAAGGAGAAGTCTCGAGGAAAGATGGCAGTGAGTGGGGGGCTCTCCCGGGTAAGGCGGGCTCTGCCTCCTCTGGGGGCTGCCATCCGGCCTGGGCTATTTTGGGTCTGAGCAAAAGAGGCTGAGACGTCAGAGCAGCTGGTAACCGACTTTTCCTTTGTTCCTACGGATGAGGCGCCCTCCTCCGCGCCTCGGAACCCCCACTTCCCCGCTCCACCCCACCGCATTCCACTTGGGAGGTGACCCCATCTGGGGCCTTTCTGATAGCCACTCTCGATCCCCTCACTATAGCCACCCTCACTATCCCCTCTAGGACAAACCCCAGCCCCAGAGGCAAGCAGAGGGGCAGGTGGGAAGGTGACAGCCGGAGCTCAGCCCCAGCTTCTCCCAGGGTGGAGTCCTGGGGGTGTCCTGAGACTGGGGTGTTGCCAGGAGCACCCCCAGGGGAGGCAGCTGTCTTGCCCCACTTTTCCAGCCAGCTCCTCTCCGGCAGGGGGGCAAGCTGGGCACCCCCATGACCTCTGCCAGCTTTAGGGAGATGGTTCTAGTTGGAACAAGGGTCACAAAACACTATGCCACCACCCTCCTCCAATTTCACCAGGGCCCCAGCTACCTGCCACGGCCAGGGCCGACTATGCCCACCTCTTTGGACCTCAGGGCCCACATCAGTGCCCACCCAGGCCATCCACCCCTTGCCCCCTTCCACCCACCGGGCACTTAGCACCCCGGGAGGCGCAGCTTTGTGGGAACAGCAAGGTCTGCCCCACCTAGAGTGTTTGAGCCTGCGACTCGGAGTGCAGGATGGTCCCCTGTCAGCCCCCTGGCTGGCTGCCTACCCTCCTGAGCCACCAGGTAACACCAGGTGAGCCCGCACCGCCCCCCCCCCACCTTCAACTCCAGCAAGCATCAAGTCACTGTTCCTGGTGCCAACTCCAGCATCGCCAGCTGCTCCACAATTATTTCTGCCTTAAATTTAGACCCATCTGTTATCTCCAGGGGGTGGGGGCGCCGGCAAAGGAGGAAGGGAGGCTCCTCCGAAGACAGCACAAGAGGGGGTGAGGCTGCAGCTGGTGCATCCCTGGCCCAGAATTAGGGAGGGGGCAGGCAGAGCCTTAGCCAGGGGAGCAGGGGAGAACCGGGATCTACCCAGAGCCCCCATTGGGCCCCCTGTGCTGGAGGCTGAGTCTGCACATCAGTCCCCGGCAGAGCCTAGGGGGCCGCCCCCACCCTTTCTACCTCCCCAGAGACGAAGGAGGAGCTGGAAGAACTCATGTCCGACATAAAGAAGACAGCAAACAAAGTTCGTTCCAAGTTAAAGAGTGAGTCAGGCTTGTCTGGGGGTGGGTGGGGGGCATTCTAGGCCTGCTTCCTCTGGGGAGCCCATGGGGTTTTGCTCACCCTGAGGGGGTGCGCCGGATCTTGCTTTCCTTTCTGAGGGTGGCGTCATGTGCCCATTCACTCAACAGCTACTTGGCAAGGCCCGCTGGTGCCAGGCTCTGGGTTGGGCCCGGGGACACACCCGCCCGAGGCTTTGTCGAGGGAGGGCTCCACTCTGGACGGGCACTGCCCCTCACCTCTGCTAAAGAGGGTTAAAGGAGTGGCCAGCACTTCCTGGTCTCACGCAGAAGCCCCGTATGCAGGGGGAACAGACACGTACACCCCGTGAGTGCCAAGGCCTCGGGGCCACATGCCCTGCAGCAGGGGCCCCCTGGCTCTCCCCGCTGTGGGCACGGCCCCTCGTACACAGCCTCTCTGAGCAGAAAGGGAGCGGTACCCAGGCACAGAGTGGCCGGAGCTGCCAGACCTCACACACACTCAGAGCTTGGAGTGGGTGTGCATTTACACACGTGCACACACCACACAGCGTCACAGCTGGAAGGGCCTCTGTAGGCCCCTCCTCCATCAGTGCCTGGCACTGACCCCACCAGCCACTGGCCACACACATACCCTAGGAGATGTGGGGAGGCGGATAGATGCCGGGTGTGCGGGTCGGGGGCAGGGGTAAAGGGGGCTGGTTTTGACTCAGCACCCACCTGTGCCCCCAGGCATCGAGCAGTCCATCGAGCAAGAGGAAGGCCTGAACCGCTCCTCTGCTGACCTGAGGATCCGGAAGACACAGGTGCGGTCGGGAGTCTAGGGTGGGCGGGCACCTGAGACTCTGGGTCCGTCCCCGCGGGGCCTGATCCCTGCACCTGCATCTCGGGCCCCCAGCACTCCACGCTGTCCAGAAAGTTTGTGGAGGTCATGTCGGAGTACAACGCCACGCAGTCCGACTACCGCGAGCGCTGCAAGGGCCGTATCCAGAGGCAGCTGGAGATCAGTGAGCTGGGGGCGGGGCCTGGGGCTGCCTCGGTGAGCTGGGGGCGGGACCTGGAGTGGGCGAGGCGTGGAGGGGCGGGGCCCGAGGCAGCCGCTGAGTTAGGGGCTGGAGAGGCGGGGGCCTGAGGCTCCTGCTGTGTTAAGGGCCGAAGGGGCGGGGCCTGAGGCTGCTGCTGATCCCGGGGCTGGGGGGGGAGCCCGGGCCTGGGACTGGAGGGGGCGGGGCCCGATGCTGCTGCTGAACTCCCCGGAGAGGGCTGGGCTCAGTGTGACCCCACTCGCTTGCAGCCGGCAGGACCACGACCAGTGAGGAGCTGGAAGACATGCTGGAGAGTGGGAACCCCGCCATCTTTGCCTCTGGGGTGAGTGTGGGCCCCACCCCTCCTGCCATGATCCCCTCACCATGTTCCCCACGTTCATGACCCCTAGTGCAGGGTCTGGACAGTATGTGGACACAGACCCCTTGTAAGGCAGGTTTTAAGCAAGGAGGAGTCCCAGAGAGGGGAAAACACCAGGCTGAGGTCACATAAATGTCTGTGGCAAAGGTGGACTCAAGACCCCTGTCTCCTGATGCCTCCCAATTGGACCCACTTCCTTTCGCCGGCCGCCAGGGGCTTCTCCTCTTATCCGTGGGCCCTTTTCCCCTCCTGGAGGACATTTGGCCATCTCCGTGTTCACGTGAAGCCGGGCAGGGGTGCTCCCTGAAGGAGGTGGCACACAGGTGTTCGAGGCAGGCTTGGGGTTGTGAGTTCTGGTGGGGGGTGGGGAGCAGTCACATTCAGTGTGGGGGGAAGGGACGAGAGAAAGGCGGTTCCAGGCCTGGGTCCACGGGGGCAGTCAACTTAGGCTCTGCAAAACGCTGATGGTAAGGACTGTCACTGAGCACTCACTCTGTGGGCCAGCACAGGTGGAGAGTGTCACTAGCCGCAGGTTACAGGTAGGAGATTGGGTCACAGAGAAATTACATAACAGCTAGCAGGTGGCAGCCAGGTAGCAAGGCGGGCAGGGCTGTGGCTGGGGAGGAAGCCTTGGGTGCCCTTCCAGAGCAGCTCTGCCCACCCCAAATGCCCTCCCCCTCGGCCCTCTGCCCTGCCCCTCAGCAAGCCTCTGGGTCCCAGCCCCCTGCTCCCACCCCCAGATCATCATGGACTCCAGCATCTCGAAGCAGGCTCTGAGTGAAATTGAGACGCGGCACAGCGAGATCATCAAGCTGGAGAACAGCATCCGTGAGCTGCACGACATGTTCATGGACATGGCCATGCTTGTGGAGAGCCAGGTGAGCGCCAGGCCCCCTTGCCCTCCACTCCAGCCCACACCGGCACCCAGGGCTGCACTAACCTCACCCTTTCTGCCCAACACGCTGCCCTGCCGGGGAGACACCAAGTTCTCAGGTAACCAATCACCCGCTGTTGAAACTGCCGCCAGGACCCTGCCCACCTGAAGGTCCCTGTCCTCTGCATGGCTCTGCTTGACCTTCAAGGACCCCAGGCCCTGCATGGCCCCACCCCCTACACCCCGCCATCTCTCATTCCCGTTTCCTCATGGGGCCACTGTGGGCCATGCATTTCCCCAGTGACCAGGACAGCTGAGGGACCTGCTTCCTGGAGTGAACAGCTTTTGGGCAAAAGGGCTGCCAAAGAACAAATGGAAGGTTCTTCAGTGGGGCTCAAACTTGAATGAGTCACCTGGAGGACTTACAAGTTTCCAGGTCCCTGTCCCAGAGTCGGGCAGGTGAGGGAAGGCCGGGAAGATACCTGTCTGACAAGCTCAAGGGTGGTGCCGTAGCCACTATGGTTCCAAAGTTACACTCGGAGTAACACTGTGCCCACGATGGGGCGGCTGCCTTTGTTGGAGTGAGTGGTCAAGGAAGGCCTCTCAGGAAGGGGCATTTGAACTGATGCCAGAAAACGGTGAAAAGGAGCCAGCTGTGAAGACTTTACAGGGGAAGATGAAGAGCTGGCCCCAGCAACACTAAGGTCCCAAGCCCAGCAAGACCCAGACTTACTTCACGAACAGAAAAAGGAGGTCCATGGTGCTGGGGCACAAGGAGTGGTCGGAACTGAGATGAAGCTGGAGACGAGGTGGACGGGGCCTTGGCAGGCAGTGTGCTGAGGAATTTGCAGTCTCTTCTAGATTGGAGGGGGTTTGGGTTGTTTGTTTTTGTTTTAGCAAAACATGGGATCTTGCTGTGTTGCCCAGGCTGGTCTCGGAACTCCTGGGCTCAAGTGGTCCTCCCACCTCAGCCTCCCAAAGTGCTGGGATCATAGATGTGAGCCACAGCACCCAGCCAGGTTGGAATGTTTTAAGTATGGGAGTGACGTGACCTTGGTTAGGAAGCAGGGAGGCCGTCAGGAGGCTGCTGCTGCCGCCATCTGGTGAGAAACAGACCACAGTGACGTGGATGCCAGTGAAGGCAATGGATGGACTTGGAGAGGGAGACACGCCCTAGGAGTCTTGTGGGGCAGTGTCATGGTCAGATTGGCCTCTGGGGTATCATGGGACCAGATCACAGGGCTCAAGAGGGCTGTGGGGCTGGGCAGGGTTTTTTTTATTTTGTTTTGTTTTGTTTTTTGTTTTTGAGACGGAGTCTCGCTCTGTCGCCAGGCTGGAGTGCAGTGGTGGGATTTCGGTTCACTGCAACCTCTGCCTCCCGGGTTCAACTGATTCTCCTGCCTCAGCCTCCCGAGTAGCTGAAACTACGGACGCGTACCACCATGCCCAGCTAATTTTTGTATTTTTAGTAGAGTCAGGGTTTCACCATGTTGGCCAGGATGGTCTCAAACTCCTTGATGTTTGATGGTCTCAAACTCAAGTTCTTAAAGACTGAAGACCCCAGACAGCAGACAGAGCTGGATGGAGCCGTCATGCCTGAGGATGTGGGTGTGGGGAGGCCCACCCATGGCCACCTCAGGAGCTATGGCCAGGGCAGGCCCAGACTCTAGCACACCCACTCCTGCTCCCACCTCCCTCTGCCTGACATTGCCACCTCTCTGACAGTGTTCTCTGCATGGTCCCCAACCCTCAGCTGAGACTGCATGGCCAGCTCCACCCCCAGGATTGCTGCTTTGCGGGGAGACGTGGGAGCTGCCTTGGGGAGCCTGCCTGGCCCTCTTAACAGCCCATCCAGGGTGCCTGGGCCAGATGAGAAGCTGTACCCCATCCTCCTCATGCCCCCTTTTTCTCTCTGGCCTCAGGGTGTTTTCCTGAAGTCCTGCCCCGAGCCCCAACCCAACCCTGAGGAGGGGGCCCTCTGGAGCTCGGGTGCCCCTGGCCCCACAGGGGGAGATGATTGACAGGATCGAGTACAACGTGGAACACGCGGTAGACTACGTGGAAAGGGCTGTGTCTGACACCAAGAAAGCCGTCAAGTACCAGAGCAAGGCGCGCCGGGTCAGTAGCCCAGCCCTGCCCAAGCCCATGCCCCAGCACCCATTAGGGACCCCCAACCATCCTACATCCCTCCCCATCCCACCTCCCTCCCTGCTCTCGGGAGCTCCCCATGACAGCTCCCTCGAGGCCGTCACCTTCCCCTGCTTGGATCCCTGGCGACTGTCCAGCCCTCAGCCTTCACCGTAGTCCCACCCCACCTGACACCACCACTGTCTGAGGCCTCTCCTGCCCGCTCCCCACACAGAAGAAAATCATGATCATCATCTGCTGTGTGATCCTGGGCATCGTCATCGCCTCCACTGTCGGGGGCATCTTCGCCTAGAAGCCACCCAAACTGCCACTCCACTCCGGGTGGGCCACTCTGAGGAGGCCCTGGCTGCTGCTACTTGGCTGGGCTGCCCTCCCAACCCCCGCCTCTGGCTCAGAGCACCCTCCCTCCTGGCCCCCATGCTCCCTTCTCTGCCATGGGCCCTCTGTCCCCGCCCCGTGTTGTGTGCATGATCTTTGTGTGCGTCTGTATGGAAGAGGCAGAGGGAGGCAGCCAGCGGGGCGGGACGCAGTGTGCGCAGCGAGGGGCAGACCCAGGCAGGGCCGCCAGGGTGACACAGGCCATCCTTGCCTTCAGTAACTCGGTGGGCCTGGGTTCTCCTCTTCCCTGGGGACCCTAACCTTGCCTCCAACTGACCTGCCCTGTCCTCTGGCCTCTCCAGCTGTCCCCACAAGCAGAGCCCTGAGGGGTGGGGACCAGCTGGCCACATGGTGCTGCTTTTCAGGTTAGGGGAGAGGTGGCCATGAGGGACAGCCCAGCTCTGAGCCTCAATCGCTGATCACTGCCAGGGAGACTCAGGCTGCCATGGCTCCAGGCTCCCTCCCCTGCCTAGGGGCAAAGTCCATCGGGTCCTGGGCCTCAGCTTCCCTTCTGACATTCCTCCAGCCCCAGGAGCAACCCCTTAGGCTGGGCCTGACCCCAGGTGTCCCTCTGGAAGGGGCTGGTTGGTGCCCCATCTCCAGCCACCCCAGCAGCCAGGGAGGCAGAGCAGGCTGCTGTCAGGCCCTCGAGCCAGCGTTGCATGTTTGGGATGGTGGCCCCTGCTGTCTTGCGCTCTGGGAAGTCAGATGTCATTTCAGGCCTGCAGTCTCATCCTGCCCTTGCCATCCCCCATCAACGTGCCACGTGGGTGTCAGGTGTCCCGGATGCACTATTCGGCAGCCAGCCAGGGAGGGCTACCTCGTCCTCCTCACCACCTTGGGGCTTCTCATGGGAAATGTGCCCCCGCCCCAGCACCCCCTCCCTCGTGGACAGGCAGGGAGATGCATGCGAGTGCATGCAGCAGGGGATGGGGCCGTGTCCGTGTGCCCCACCCTCCCTCGGCTTTACTCCTGCCCAGTGACTGTGACCGTCCGTGTTGCCTTCTTGAACAGCGATTCCCCCTAACCCCTTCACCAAAGGTCTTGGTACAACCAGCTGCCCATTTTGTGAAATTTTTATGTAGAATAAACATTTGTATCTGTACCAGGCCTCTGTTCTAGGTTTCTTCCCCAGGTCTCCTGGGGGAAAACCTTAGGAGGGTCCTCGCTGTTGCCCAAGCTGGCCTCCCACCTCAGCCTCCCACGGAGCTGGGACCACAGGTTGTGCCTGGCCTGGCTGCTCTAGACTTCTTGCCATCTGCAGTGTCGCAGTCTTAGAACTTGAGGATGAATGGATGTGGCACTAAGAGGAAGGGCTCAGAGGCGAGGATCCCAACTCAGCCTCAACCCCACCCTGGACGTTCAACTTCCTCAGAGCTGTCTCCCGCCATACAGTGGAGAACATCCAGGCCTTACTCCCTGATAACAGGCCCAGAGGCCACACTCGAGGCCTGGAATCTGACACCTGCAGGAGACCCCACTGCAGGGCTTGGATCCTCAGGCCCCAAGCCTCACCCCTCTCCCAGACACCTGGCCCCTCGGGCCCCTGCACCAATTGCCTAATGTCTTAAGCTGCTAAACACCCGATCCAGCTCTGTAGTGCAATGCCCAAGATCTTGCCTCGTCCCACATGCACAAGGCTCAGGCAAACCATTCCACCTCCTCTCCTATCACAGCCTGCAGGGCAGCCCCACACCGCCCCAGAGCAGGACCCGCCCTTTCCCACCACCAGTGACGGCCAAGAGATCAGCCCAAGACATCTGAGTGCTGGGCTGGTCGGCAGCTGACCGTGCAGCAGCTCAGTGCCACCGTTCAGGCCGGGGCCACTGGACTGGCAAGGCCTTCACAGGAAGGGAAGCCAGAGACTGGCCAGCGGGCACCACAAACACATTTCATCCGGGCCCTCTTCCCAACTTCGCTTGCTGTGATTATGATATAGTTATGTATGAGCCCCAAATTAAAGGACTCTGTTCCTTGCAAATGGAAAGAATGCTTTCATGCACGTTAAGGTTTTTTAAACCTGATTCCTGCCTGGGGAGTTAAGCAGCAGCCCACCAGGAGGACCGAGTTTGGTGAGAATCACAGAGCTGGGAGATGCCAGAGCTCCACAAAAGGAATTTTTATTTCTTGCTTTTAAACAAAATAAGATGCTCTCAGAGCTTTTTTTTTCCCCCCCTAGAAACGAAGTCTCATTATGTTGCCCAGGCACGTCTTAAACTCCTGGCCTCAAATGATCCTCCCGCCTCAGCCTCCCAAGGTGCTGGGATTACAGGTGTGAGCCACCACGCCCAGCCCAGAGTACTTTTTTTTTTTTTTTTACTGCAGAAAACATTTTCAGAACTTTAGAACTTTTCTAAAATACTACTTTGTCAGCTGAACAATATAGAAAAGTACAGAGGCAAGTGCCTGTCCAGAACTGTGGGGTGACTTAGAAGCGGGGCTTGCGCTTGCGGCCAGTGTACTGGGTGTCAGGTCTGACTTCCCTGTGCAAAAAAGGAAAACAGTCTCAGAAAAAAAGATCAAAGCAGCCCTGGACCCTTCAAATGCAGGGGAGTTGGAGCTCTTAGTGGCAACAGGCATCCACCCCCCCACCCACCCTGCCAGCTCCCAGACTGGCACTCACCTGCCCTGGCGCCTGTGCCGCTCCTTCTTCTCCAGCACCCATGCCCGGCTCTTCCTCACCATTCCCCGCCGCGACATCCTGAATGGGACCCTGTGGTGGACACAGCGATGAGCTGATGGATGGCTGATGGATGGCTCATGGATGGGGCTGCCCAGCTGGCCCCCACTTGAATCCATGGCAAGCTTACCTCTGAGTCTGGTGGCCTCAGATGCCCCTTCCCTCAGATGCTCCACCTTCCCTACAACACAAGTCCTCACTCTGGACATCCTCCTTCCCAATCACATCCACCCGGGCCACAGAGGTTGTTGGGTGGGGAGAGGAGAGGGCTGGGCCAGGTATGGAGATCTCAACGCCAGCAAGCAGTCTGTTCCCTCTTTGGGAAGCAGCTAAGCAGCAGTAAGCAGGCCGCTTTCTACCAATGCAGTGACACATCATCACCTGAACTTCAAAAGCACAGTGGACAGTTCACGGCAGGAGCTTAGGGTCCACAGCTCGGGGGCAGGAAGACAGGGATGGAAAGGAGGGGCTGAAAAGGAAGGACTGAGGGGCGTGAAGGAAGAAGGAAAGAGGGCTGGGGTAACCCCGAACACCCCTGTGACCATCCGTAGAAACGAGAGGGCAAGCCAAGGAGCTGCCATTTGGGTGCCTGAGCCTGAGGGGCCAGCACAAAGCAGGAGCAGTTGCAGAGCAGGACTGGGGACACAGGAGTCATCATCTCAAGGTTCTACAAGGAGTACAAAGCCAGGGCAGGGTGGCAAAGAGGGGCCAACAGGTGGGCCATGGGAGAAGCAGCAAGGGGGAAAGTCATCAAGGGAGCTAAAGGGAGGAGGTGAAGACAGGGAGTGCCCCAAAGCACAGGTCCCAAGAGAAGTGGGGGTCCAGCCCTGTAGGAGGCACATGAGAGGCGTGGGAGGGAGGAAGCCAGGAGGAAAGAAGGAACAGGCCAAAAAGAGAGCCTGGAGACTGATTAGGTAAAGGCTTAAAAGACTTAATTCATCTATTTATTTAAAATAAACAGGTGTCCTGAATGTGGTTAGACTGAGGTGACAGTAACAGAAGCCCTTCCCTGCTCTCTACCTCATCTGAGGAACTGAAAGTGTGAGCCTACAGAACGAGGGATGGCAAGGTATGTGCTGGGCACCCTGAACACACTGCCAAGATGGGTGGCACTACCCCCACTTTTCAGATAGCTGAGGAATGGATGCTCACGTCATTCAGCTTACCCGTGTTTACTTTTAGGACATGTCGTCTGAAGACCCCAGTGTGAGGACAAAAGGGATCCTAAGATGCATGGAGTAGATGAGGCAATGTGTACCTCCCCTGTGAGGAAGGAGATGGGAGTGCACCCTGGGAGCACAAGATGGACCCCTGAGAGAAGAGGTCATCCAGAAGGGCCCCAGCTGCCCATGGGGAATGAACTAGGGAAGCTAAGGGAAATGAGCAAAGACCCAAGGGGTCAGGCAGCATAAACCTATGGTGGACGCAAGGAACATGCCTGGCTGCGCCCAGCTGTGGGCCTTCCCCACACGTGCATTTGGGGCTCATTTTTCCTCTTAAATGTCTTAAAGGTCTTAAGACCTTTCCCTCATGTCAACTGGAACTCAGAAATAACCTCCCTCTTCACTACCTTATCATCAACTATTCATTCAGAAAAATACTGAGCACGTTTTACTAACAAGACACTATTGTCAACGTCAGGGATACAATACCAGTCCTCAGCAAGTTTTCATTCTAGCTGGAGATACAAATAGTAACCAAGTCAACTGCTATGTATGACTTAGAGCAGCGAAGGGTGTTAAGAAAAATCAACCCAAGCGGGGAGCGGAACTGCAAGGAAGACAGTGAAAGAGTAATGTCAAGATACTACTTACATTTTAGAAAAAAGAGAAAAAGACCAGTTTTGCTGCTATGCAGAAAATAATCTGCAAGAAGCAAAGACTGCAAAGGCAGGGAGACAAGGTAGACAGCTGTTTCAGCAATCCAGGCTAGGCGTAGTGCTGGATTAGGCTCTGCTGGATTAGACTGTTGGAAGCAGGGAGGGCCAGCACGGCGATACACACTGAGGGACGGACAGCAGGGCTCAATGACAGGCTGACGGGATGTGAAATGTAGGGAGACAGGAATGATCAAGAATGGCAAAGAATGGAGGATGAGGCTGGGCACAGTAGTTCACGCCTGTAATCCCAGCACTTTGGGAGGCCAAGGCAGGCAGATCACGAGGTCAGGAGTTCGAGACCAGCCTGGCCAACATGGCGAAACCCCCCCCCCCACCAAAAACACAAAAAATTAGCTGGGTGTAATGGCGGGCGCCTGCAATCCCAGCTACTTGGGAGGCTGAGGCAGGAGAATGGCTTGAACCCGGGAGGCGGAGGTTGCAGTGAGTTGAGATTGCGCCACAGCACTCCAGCCCAGATGACAGAGTGAGACTCCATCTCACACAAAAAAATGGAGGATGGCCAGGCATGGTGGCTCACATCAATCATCCCAGAACTTTGGGAGGCTGAGACAAGGGAACTCCTTGAGGCCAGGAGTTCAAGACCAGCCTGCACAACATGGCAAGACCCCATCTCCACCAAAAACTTTAAAAATTAACCAGGCATGGTGGCATGCAGTTGTAGTCTCAGCTACTTGGGAGGCTGAGGCAGGAGGATCATTTGAGCCCAGGAGTTTGAGGCTGCAGTGAGCTAAGATTCCACCACTGCACCCTAGCCTGGGTAAGAGAGCAAGACCCTGTCTCAAAAAAAAAAAGAAAAAAAAAAAGAGAGAGAGAGAACGCTTAGGGGATGAAAACCAAGAGCTGTTCTGTTTGAGGTACCCATGTAAAGTCCAGGTATGGACACCGAGGAGGCACTGGGAAACGCCAGGTGGCAGAGAATGAAGATACACATTTGGGAGGCAGGAGCTTCTGGCTGGCATTTACACACCACGGATAGAGAAGGGATCCAATCCAGGCTGGGCCCGGGACTCGAGGAGGAAGCAGCAGTGGACTGAGGAGCAGCCAGGAAGGCTGAGGAAACCACAACGGTGGGTGGAAGGCCAAGTGAAGGAAGTGTCAAGGAGGGAGTGCGCTGCTGCCTCCGACCCTACTGAGCAGGCAGGACAAGAAAAAAGGTCAGAAGTGACCAGACGTGGCTTGACAGAAACTGGTGGTGGCCTCGACAAGAACGAGTTTTGGTAAGACAGAATTGTCAGCCTGAGAAGTGGAGTGAGAGAATGGCAGGAGGGAAGAAGAAAGAGGCAGGTCTGAGTTCTGCTATGAAGGCAAGCAGATCAATTGGGCAGTTAGCAGTTGTTATGGGGTTAATTAAGGGAGGAACTTTTCTAGAAAAGGAGAACTTATGCAGCATGCCTGTGTGCCGACCGGAGTCACCCAGGACAGTCAAGATGAGCATGCAGGAGGGAAGGGGGAGCCACGGCACCCAAGGGAGAGGGTCCCGGATGCAGGTGGAGGGCAGCATCAGGAAGGAGATGGCCTGCCAGGCGTGGCAAGAGGAAGGGGTACGTGTGGGCTCACAAAGGGAGCTCCAAGCTGCATGGCTGCCCGCAGACATCCAGGACCCCAAACTCCTAGCCCCAAACAGGCACAGTCCAAACGGGGCCTGATGTTTCTGCCACCACCTTGGTGTCCCTGCTGCATGTGACCTGAGAGGCTTGGGGGAGGGCAGAGGGAAAGTCCACATCTAACAAATGTGGCAGCCCCCGCTGCAGCCGGGGCAGGGTTCAGCAGTTGCTTTACCTCTCATTGGTGAACACAGACTCCCTGGGTTCATCTTCATCCTGATTTTCACTCAGCCCCTGCAGGAACCAAAGTGCACTTAGGTCACCCTGAAGAGTTCTCAACCCACGTGCCCCACTCCAGAAGCCCAGGCACCCAGGCCTGAGCCCTTCCAACAGGGACAAGGTCCAGTCCCATGAGAAGGAACCGACATGCCTTTGTGGGACCTGAAGAGCAGAGGTCTCTGCCTCCGGATTCCAGAGGACGTGAGCACTCCAGGCTCTGCACTCTGGGGCTGGGCCCTACTTCCCCACCAGTGTTCTCCCAGCAGGCTCTGCAGGCTGAGCCCCACTGCCTGGAAGTCAAGACACAGGCCTGCTGGCAAACCCAGTGTCCCTCACCTCTGGTATAAAGGTCGAAGGCCCAGAAAACAAGCAGAGGTAGAATCTGAAAGGAGAAAGTGCAACGTGAGGACTGGGTGGAGAAACCCCATAGGGAGACAAGTTCTCGCCACCCCGTCTCCCCACCCCGCCTGCCTGGACCCTGGTGACCCACACCCCAGCACTCCTCTGCACCACTGAGTGGCCTGAAAGGGCTATGCCAGTACCCTCCCTCCTGCAGCCCAGGCAGCACACCAGCCCCCAGCGCTCACTTCTTTGCTTTGGCACTGTTAGGGTAGTCCACCACCATGCCACCGGAGAAGCCCGCCTTTGTGGCCTGGGTTGTGATCAGCTCCAACTGAAGAAAGAAAGGCAGTGGGTCAGGCAGCGGAGGTGAGAGGAGCAGACAGCTTTACCTCCCTCCCCTCCTTCAGAAACCAGTCTGCCCCAGGACGAATCCTGCCTGGGAGAACTTAAGGTCGCTGTAAGCCACGTAGAGAAAAGTGCAGGCATGGCCCACACCTCGCTCAGGAGAATTACACAACAAAGCAACTCCTCTCATTCTCACTTTCCAGCGCAGGGACCCAGCTCTCCACTCAAGTTTAGGAAGGAGATGGCCACAACTGGAAGCCAGACTCATTCATGTTATTAGTCAGGAACAGCTCTTCACTTATCTTTCAACATCTACATCCTGCTCCGCCATTCCTTAATTATACATCACACAACAGACAACTGTCGCTGCCCTCTCCCCCTTCCTAAATGGCATTCACTTATTTGGTTATGGAAATTAGTCGTATTACCTTATCTATAATACCATGTCATCTGCCAAGGGAAGACATCCCACCCCACCTCTGCAAATGCCGCCCCCCCCCTCAGGATATCAGGTCATCAAATGTGCCATCAGGGGCCACACTAGGGTGCATGTTTTCTCCTTTTCCCGTCAATCTGCATAAGGTTCTTTGTCGCTTCCCCAGGACAGCTTACCTGATGAGTCCCCCCGCTCCCCTGCACACCCAGTAGGCAAGGGACTCACCTGCTCTGAGTTCTCAGGGTATAGCTGCAGGACAGCTCGGGATCCCCGGACCTGAAAGAAACAGGAACATCACTGTCTTACAAATGACCGCATCAGCTTAGGGCCTGGACACCCTCCCTTCCTTCATTCACCGAGTATTTCCTGAGTTTCCATTATGGATGAGGCACTGCTGTTAGGGCTGGGGATAGTCATGAACAAGAGATCAACCTGAATTTTGGAGCTCACATTTTAGTAGGGGAGGCAACTCATTTACAGTAGCAATTTTTCCTTTGTTGCAAAAAGAGGAATTGGACAAAGTGACAGTTTCCTTTCAGTTCAGTTTACTTTCGGTTCCAAAAGGTCTGTTTCAGATGGACACTTGAGCAGAGATTTGAATGGAGTGAGGAGCTGGCTGTTTAAACGTAGAGGGGAAGAGCCTTCCAGCAGGGAGAAGAGGAAACATAAAGGCCCTCGGAACTACAATATTAAGCCAGTACGCCAGGAGGAAAACTCATGTGACACACAAGACCAGTGGCCAGATCAGCAGGGGCAGTCCAACCCAGAAAAGACCAGTGGCCAAATCAGCAGGAGCAGTCCACCCCACGGAAGACCAGCGGCCAGATCGGCAGGAGGAGTCCACTCCATGAAAGACCAGCGGCTAGCTGTCGGCAGGAGCAGTTCACCCCAGGAAAACTAGGGGTGGGCTGGACCAGGCTAAGGAGGCAAAAACCACTCAGATCCTTCAAAACGGACTCATTTTTAAGCTGGCACAGTGGCTTACACCTAAAATTCCATCACTTTGGGAGGCTGATGCAGGAGGATTGCTTGAAGCCAGGAGTTTAACACCAGCCTGGGCAACATAGCTAGACACCATCTCTAAAAAAAAAGTAAGTAAAAAATTAGCCTGGCATGGTGGTGTGTGCCTGTAGCCCAAGCTACTTGAGAAGCTGAGACCAAGATTTCGAGGGCACAGTGAGCTACCATCACACCACTGCACTCCATCCCAGGCAACAGAGCAAAAGTCTGTCTCAAAAAACAAGTAAGATTTAAAAAGAACTCATTTTTAGGACTTAAAATCTCAGACTATCATCTAATCTTAGTGAACAACTGAAATTAACATCATTAGTTAAAAAGGCAAGATAAAGCTAATATAGGCTCTCTCTGCGGTAAATAACTATCCTGTTCCCCATCTGAGGAAAAGGATCAGCATTAGGTGGAGGGAGAAGTGAGGAGTCAGAAGCATGTGGGCACTTTGGAAGGTACCCCTCTGGATGGTCTCAACACGACATCTCTTGTCCTCACTCTGCTCAGTCCATGCCCCCAAACCAACTTCTGGCCCCCAAACCAACTTCTGATTAAAACTCAGAGTAACAGACATAGGAATACCAATCAACAGAAGTAGGCCCTATTACAAGTTACTAAATTGGTCTCCGATTTTGCCATCAGTGACTTCTGGGTTTGATGAGCGTACACCAGTCCACTGAGCTTGAACTTCTTTAGGCTGAGAACCTGGACAGAAGCAACCACAGTAAGGTCCTGCGGTCCCATATGAGTAGCGTTCCCATCATGGGACACCTCAATTTCCTCACTCTACCTGCAGGGCTACGGAGGGACAGGCAGCTAACCCAGATGGGGAGAAGATCTTATACTCACGAGAACAGAAAAAAGAGAAGCAAAAAAGCAGTACAGGCGCTTGGCAGGGTTTTCAGACTTCTTGTTAGCATTACACAGCCACTGCACAGCAGAAATGCTAAAAAGGAACGGACCTAGTCAGGCAAGGGAGCAATCCACATTGCTCCCCTCACCGCTTCAAGCTTCTCAACATCATCCGTCTTGGATCTCCAAGAGAAACCCCTCCTCCCACAGCTTCCCTTCTTAGAAAGTGCAGGTTCAGGCCACGTACAGTGGCTCATGCCCTGTAATCCCAGCATTTTCTGAGGCCAAGACAAAATTGCCTGAGGCCAGGAGTTGAAAACTAGCCTGGACAACATAGCAAGACCCCATCTCTACTCAAAAGTATTTTAAAGTTTAAAAATTTAAAGACAAAGAAAAAAGTGCAAGTCCACTGCAGGTCATGATTCTACAACACTGGGAAAATAGGACATACAGAAGGACAGCATTCATGTCCCTCAGTCAGCCCCAGAAACCTTTCCTCAACCTTGTTTCCATCTGCATCTCAACTTGAGAATTCCTCCATGTCAAGACTGTCTGCCCACACACCCCTCCTTGTTCCCTTCCTCCAATCCAAGGAAACAGGCTTTAGACTATTCACACACACACAGCCACCCATCACCCTTCCTCTTAAATCACTCCCTTCCACTCTACCTGTTAAGTGTTTTCACAACCCCCAGATTTAAAACCTCAAGCGGCCAAGCACGGTGACTCACACTCGTAATCCCAGTATTTTGGGAGACTGAGGCAGGTGGATCACCTGAAGTCAGGAGTTTGCGGCCAGCCAGACCAATACGGTGAAACCCGGTTGCTACTAAAAATACAAAAATTAGCTCGGCGTGGTGGCATGTGCCTGTAATCCCAGCTACTCAGGAGGCTGAGGCAGAAGAATCACTTGAACCCAGGAGGCGGAGTTTGCAATAAGTTGAGACTGCACCACTGCACTCCAGCCTGGGCAACAGAGCAAGCCTCCATCTCAAAAAATAAACTAAAAAAACCGTCAAGCAGTCACTATGTCTTCCTTCCTGCCCTTCCCCTCCCTCTGCTGTACACACACATGCAGAGCCCTACCTCCACTCCCACAGCCTCTCCCAACTTTCACGTCCCCCCACCAATGCTCAGCGCTACCAGCTCAAATGTTTCCACCTAACTCCCTCTTCTCTTCCATCTGAAAATCACCTTCCTTAAACACACATCTGATCCCGTCACCTGCCAACTCCCCATCATCCATCAAGCCCAAACTTCTTAGGACATACTTAGGTGCCTTCTAGGAACCAACCACACACAACGCCATCTTCTGTGGAATCTCTCATTCATCACTCTCATCTCAGACCCTTTCCCACTAGCGTCAGTGCCTCTGCCCACTGTTCCCTCACTCGGAAACCCTCTCCTTGACTATCCAAATTCCTCCCAGCCTTCAAGGCGCAGCCCCTTCACCCAAGGCTTTCCTGTGCTCTGGCAGCTCCACGACTCTCTAGGGCACACACCACTCATGGCCTTATATTCAGTTGCCTGGTCCAAGTCCTAAAGCACCTAATAAACCGTGGAGAGTCTTAAACACAGAGACTGTTTCATTTCCCCGTACTCCACAGTAACTTGTATGTCTCACATGTAGCAAGTGTTTACAAAAGAAAGTCTGGGCCGTGTGCGGTGGCTCACACCTGTAATCCCAGCACTTTGGGAGGCTGAGGCAGGGGGATCACAAAGTCAGGAGTTCAGTACCAGCCTGGCCAACATGGTGAAACCCCGTCTCCACGAAAATACAAAATCAGCCGAGCATAGTGGTGAGCGCCTGTAATCCCAGCTACTCAGGAGGCTGAGGCAGGAGAATTGCTTGAACCCGGGAGGTGGAGGTTGCAGTGAGCTGAGATCGTGCCATTGCACTCCAGCCTGGGCAACAGAGTGAGACTCCATCTCCAAAAAAAAAAAGTGTGCTATACCACCTCACCTCTCCCCCAAAACAGACAAAACTGACCACCCCCCTTCCGAAACATACAGACCATACTGCTGGCCTTCGGCTTTTCACAGCTTAGAACACCTCACCTGACCATTACCAAAAAGCATCTGCTACCCTTGAAATTATTCCCCAACCCCTCTGGGTCTTGTTCCAAGATGTAAAAGGAAAATCTTCTAATCCAAATTTTTACCTCTCACCTGGCTCCCCACTTCACATCCCCACCACTCAACCTAGGATAACCAAAGGAGGTCTCCCCTATTTTCTTACCTTCACTCTCACATTGCACCAAAAACTAAACAGAACTGATTGCAGCAGCCTAAGGAAAACGTAATCAATTTTAACGCTCTAAGATCTGTTATCAAAGTGCTATGCCGATGTTTAATCCAACCCTGATTACAGAGAAAGGACTCTGGAGCACTGAAGAGATTAGAGCAAGCCCCGCCGCTCTCCACCAGAGTTATTTGTTGGCAAATAAAGATTGCTGTTGGGGCCCACAAGATGTCTGCTAAATGGCCGCTAGAGGCTAAAAGACCACCTCCCCTCCCCCACCAGACACACAAAGCCAACATAGAATCTGTACCAGTGGTGCCTGAACCTGGCAATGCAAAATAATCACAATAGTAGACAAGTTTTACTTTTGAGATGAAGTCTCGCTCTATCACCCAGGCTGGAAGTGCAGTGGTGTGGTCTTGACTCACTGCAACCTCTGCCTCCCAGGTTCAAGCAATTCTCCTGCCTCAGCCTCCTTAGTAGCTAGCTGGGACTACAGGTGCCCACCACCGTGCCTGGCTTTTTAGTAGAGACTGGGTTTCACTGTGTTGGCCAGACTGAAAAGTTTTAGAATCCAAAAAAATACACTCTTAGGCCTTATTCTAACCTTGTAAATCTGAAAATCCCATGGGATGTGTATTTGTAAATATCTGCGTGACTGCTGCACAGCCAGGTTTGGGAAGCACTGGCCTACAGGACTAAAAGCAGGAAGTGGCCGGGGTGGCTCACACCTGTAATTTCCAGCATTTTGGGAGGCCCAAGTGGGTGGATCACCTGGGCAACATGGCATCTCTACAACAAATACAAAAAAAAAGTAAGCTGATCGCGGTGGCTCACACCTGTAATCCCAGCACTTTGAGAGGCCAAGGCGGGTGGATCACGAGGTCAGGAGATTGAAACCATCCCAGCCAACATGGTGAAACTCTGTCTCCATTAAAAATACGAAAATTAGCTGGGTGTGGTGGCACGCTCCTGTAATCCCAGCTACTTGGGAGGCTGAGACAGGAGAATCACTTGAGCCTGGGAGGCAGAGGTTGCAGTGAGCCCAGATCACACCACTGCACTCCAGCCTGGTGACAGAGCAAGACTCCGTCTCAACAGAAAAAAAAAAAATTAGCTACGTATGGTGGCATGGGCCTGTAGTCCCAGCTACTCAGGAGGCTGAGGTGGGCAGATCACCTGAACCCAGGAGGTGGAGGCTGCAGTGTGAGCCGTAATCACAGACACTGCACTAGAGCCTAAATGACAGAGTGAGACCCCGTCTCTAAATAAATAAAAGCAGGAAGTGAAGACCCTCACCTGATGCAACCGTCAAATGTGCCCGGCTTGAATGGGATGCCCTGGCCCATATCGCCCAGCAGTAGGTCTCCCTCTATCTCTCGGTCCACGGCCTCATCTACGTTAGAGAAAAGACAATCAGAGAAAGAGACAATACCTGTGGCTTCTCCACACCCATCAGAGTAATCCACCCTGGTGCCAGACAGGACATACTTACCCAGCATGGCAGGGCTGATATCCAGGCCCACCCAATAGTGCCCTTCATCTGAGAGATAACTTCCACTCAGCCCAGTGCCACAGCTGGAAGACACGATCATAGACTCACGGTCAGTTTGCAAAGGTACTTCACCACCTTAGACAATCTGAACCAGGCCCCAGAATCTCACCCAATATCCAGCAGGTAACAGGGCTTATTCTCTGGCAGATAAAGAAGCTCCAGTGCTCGCCCAGCCATCCTGGTCTGGATATCAATCATCCGTGAGCTGGGAAGGCAGAAACACAAGTGGACATGGTAAAGGAGTTCTGGGTGAATACCTCCCCCAGACCAAATAAAAAAAAAAAAGCCAAGTTAAAAAAAAAAAGGATCAATCATCCCAAGGTACTCTTTTCTGACCCCTTCTAAGTTGGGATCAACAAATTCAACTATTTAAAAGTGACCCCCAAATTCCATGTAATTCAGGACCATGTTATTTTGTGGTAACAAATTATCACTGTACCAGCTGCCAAGCAGATGTGTAAAAAGCAAATCACTTTCCTAATAATAAACAACCATTGGGATCTGCAACTCTGAGGCTGGGCTGCTCTAGCATTTGTTGAAAACATTTTCTGCAAGAATTATCCTCCATAGTTTCTCTCATCTAGAAGGATCAATAATGCACAAAAACCTACAGAAGCACAGTCCATGAGAAACACAACACGAGCCACGTATGGCCTCCCAATAGCCAGTCAAAAAGAAACTTAAACAGGTGAAAGAAACTAGAGTCATTATTTTTAACCCCATACGTTTGATAACGTATTTTCTTTAACCCAATAGGTTCAAAGTACCACTTCAACATATAATCGACATAAAAAGTCAGCAGTAAGGACCGGGCCTGGTGGCTCACGCCTATAATCCCAGTACTTTGGCAGGTCAAGGCAGACGGATCCCGTGAGCAACTTACCAGATCCTTGGGCAACGCAGCAAAACCCCCTCTACACAAAAAAATTACACAAACTAGCCGGGCGTGAAGTGGTGCGCCTGTAGTTCCCAACTACCCGGGAGGTGAGGTTGCAGCCACTGCAGCACTTCAGCCTGGGCGACAGAATGAGACCCTGTCTCACACACACACAAAAATATCAAGCTATTTCAGCCAGCGTGGTGGCGAGTGCCTCTAGTTCCGGCTACTGGGGAGGATGGCTTGAGGCTGCAATCGGCAGTCGGCAGGGATCATGCCATGGTACTCCTGCCTGGGCAACAGACAGACCCTGTCCGTAAAAAAAGAAACAGTATCCAATAGCTATTTATTGATTGACTGAGTCAGGGTCTCACTCTGTCGCCAAGGCTGGAGTATAGTGGTGCGATTGCAGCTCACTGCAACCTCTGCCTCTCAGGTTCAAGAGATTCTCCTGCCTCAGCCTCCCATAGGCTGGCTAATTTTTGTATTTTCAGTAGAGACGGGATTTCACCACGTTGGCCAGGTTGGTCTCCTTCCCTACCTCAGGTCATCCATCCGCCTCGGCCTCCCAAAGGGCTGGGATTACTGGCGTGAGACCCCGTGCCCAGACAATAGCCATTTACTTAAATACGGCTAGTCTCTCAGTGAGAAAGCATGGAAAAACCACAAAATACCTTTTTTTTTTTTTTTTGAGACAAAGTCTTTCTCTGTCGCCCAGGCTGGAGTGCAGTGCCGTGATGTCGGCTCACTGCAACCTCCCCGTCCCGGGTTCCAGCGAATTCTCCTGCCTCAGCCTTCCGACTAGCTGGGATTACAGAAGTCCACCATCGCGCCCGACTAATTTTGTGTTTTTAGTAGAGCTGGGGTTTCGCCATATTGGCCAGGCTGGTCTCGAACTCCTGACCTCAAGTGATCCGCCCGCCTCGGCCTCCCAAAGTGTTGGGATTACAGGCGTGAGCCACCGCGCCTGCCTCCGCCCCCACCTCTTTTTTTTTTTCTTTTTTTTTTTTTTTTTTAAAAGACGAGGTGCGGTGGCTCACGCCTGCAATCCTAACAGTTCAGGAGACAAAGGCGGGAGGATCACTTGAGCCCTGGGATTAGACCACGTTGGGCAACACGGCGAGACCCCGTCGCTACAAAAAATTAAAAAAATACGCCACCCGCGGTGGCGCGCGCCTGTGGTCGCAGCTACTGGAGAGGCCGAGGGGAGCCACCACGCCCGCCTAATTTTTTTTATTTCTGGGGGGAGACGGGGGCTCGCGACGTTGCCTAGGCTGGTCTCGAACTCTCAAGCTCAACCGATCCTCCCACCTCAGCCTCCCAAAGCGCTGGGACTGCTGAGATTACAGGCGCGAGCCATCCCCACCTGGCCACAACTCTGTAGTTCGTACAAACCACCCTCTATGAAATTCAGACAATAACACACCAACGGCTGTCGCGAACATTTATTGGCAAACAAGGCGCCACGATAAGCATCCTACGGACACCAATTACTTCCTTCCCCCCACCAAGACTGACCCCTCGCCCATACCCACCGCCCAGCGCCTCTTTTACCACATGCTTACAAGTTGTCACACTCGACTTTAAAAACCACCCACGGAAAAGCAAGCGCGATCACCCCTACCTCAATGCTGAGATACCGAGGCCCAGAGAGATCGGCAAAGTTGATTTACCAGAGACAGAAAAGGCACCCACCCGGGTCCTTCCCTCCCCGCACCCCCAAATTCTACGAGCTTTCCAGGCAACGCCAGCAACCGGGACAACTTGCCGCTTCCCGACCCCCGGACACCGCGCAGTACTCGGGCTCCCCTCACTTGCGAACGTATTTCCGGGCTTCTTTCTCATCATAAAACTGCAAAAAAAAAAAAAGAAAAAGAAATGGCAGGTAGTGGAGGAATTCAGACGCGGCGGCCGTAGAAGTGGGAAGAGGGGTGTCCGCGGGCCCGGGAACTTACCAGCTCCGGTGGTCCACCATGCTCCGGACGCCGGCCGCGAGACGCCATACTCACGCCTCAGCAGCACGCCTGCGACTGGCGTTTTCCGGAACCCGGCTTTTATGTCATCAGCCCGGCGACCGCTTGGTAATACGCATGCTCCACCCCTCCTTGCCCGCCCCCCTTACGTGACTGGCTACAGGGCGACCAACCGGCGCCTCTCATTGGCCAGTTTCTCTTGCACCGCCCGCCTAATCAATTCAAGATGGCAGCCATGCGCAGGGGATGGTGGTCGCGGCTGTTACCGTGGAGGTTGCTGCAAGCCCGTGCTTTTCCACTAAATTCTACACCCGGCCTGGGCCTGGGAGCGAGGACTTATTCTCAGGGCGACTGCTCGTACTCGCGCACGGCGCTCTATGATCTGCTCGGCGTCCCCTCCACAGCCACGCAGGCCCAAATCAAGGCGGCTTACTACCGTCAGTGCTTTCTCTACCACCCGGACCGCAACTCTGGGAGCTCGGAGGCTGCCGAGCGCTTCACGCGCATCTCCCAGGCCTACGTGGTGCTGGGCAGTGCCACCCTCCGTCGTAAGTATGATCGCGGCCTCCTCAGCGACGAGGACCTGCGCGGACCCGGCGTCCGGCCCTCCAGGACGCCCGCACCCGACCCCGGCTCGCCGTGTCCCCCGCCGCCTACTTCTCGGACCTACTACGGTTCTCGGGCCGCCCCCGGCGCCAACCGCACGATGTTCAACTTTGACGCCTTCTACCAGGCCCACTACGGGGAACAACTGGAGCGGGAACGGCGCCTGAGGGCCCGGCGGGAGGCCCTTCGCAAAAGGCAGGAGAATGCGTCCCTGAAAGGCCTCCGCTGGGAGGAGACCCGAGACGTGGCTGCCATTTTCCTCGTCTTCTCAATCTTCATCATCATCGGCTTTTATATTTAATCGGAGAGAGGAAGGAAGGGGAGTGTCCCCAGCCAACCCCCAAAAAACGGCCTTTTTTCCTGCCTCTGAACCCTTGGCCATTGATAGTCTAACCTCTGCTGAGATCCTAAGGAACTGTACTCCCCCTGCCCTCCCCGACCCGCCCAGCTTAGCCGATGACCTACACATCCCTCCACTATGGTCCAGAAAAGGAGGTCTCTCGACGTCTAAGAAAAAGGCCCCACGCTGAAGAGTTCCGAAAGCCCAGGAGTTAAGGGGTTCCTGGAGTCTCTAGGGTACTTCTTCCAGAGTTTGTCTTCCTGCTTCCAGATGTAGTCAACTTCTGGAACACGCGCTGTAGCTTTATTGTAAAGCCCCGAGCAAGATTTATCTGCTCCTGCCCCGCGTGTATACGGTGGGCCTCCTCTGTAACCTTGAAATGTGCAATGTGACCAATTGTTGGCTGCCAAAAGAAAAAGTCCGGGGTTATACGAAACTTGTCTTTCTGTGAGTTCCCCAAGCCGCAGGTGAGACCTGGTCCAGGGTAAGAATGGGATCAGTGGAGAGCCTGCCATTCCTTCAGCTAAGGTCAGGCCCCTGGGGCACTCCCCCTTCTCTTGATAGCATGTGGGAGTGAGAAAACAAAGTCATTGAGCATAAGGAATGAGTGTTCCTGTGCCCGTATTTAATGTGTGACCTTGGAGAAGTTACTCTGTGGGCATGACAGCAGAGGAGAAAATCATTTGGCATCTTAAGGTCTGTCATGCTTTATTATCCATAGTTTTTGGGGTTTTTTTTGTTTTATTTTGTTTTGTTTCTGAGGTGGAGTCTTGCGCTCTGTTGCCTAGGCTAGAGTGAAGTGGTGTAATCTTAGCTCACTGCAACCTCCACCTCCCAGGTTCAAGCGATTGTCCTGCCTCAGTCTCCTGACTGTGTAGCTGGGATTACAGGCTCCCGCCACCACACCTGGTTAGTTTTTTGTTATTTTTAGTAGATACGGGTTTCACCATCTTGGCCAGACTGGTCTTGAACTGCTGACCTCAGGCTATCTGCCCGCCCGGCCTCCCAAAGTGCTGGGATTGCAGGCATGAGCCACCACGCCCAGCCTATTAGTCATAGTTCTAATCCATAGCAGGGCCAGGTTCACCCTTGGGACAGTGTGGCTGTCACCTGTTCCTCCCTTTACCAGCCAGCCCCATTGCACACTGTGCAGCCCCTCCCCTCCCAGAAACAGAGTGACAGACTCCGCGCTTGAGTCCCCTGTTCCTGTTTAACCTGCAGTGCTCATCACAGGCCCTTTCTTAATTTTTTAGACGAGGCTGCGGTAAACTGGGGCTTTGGGAGTACACAGGACTACTGAGGGACGGGGGTTTGGTGTTTAAGGTGGAGACTTGGTTCTTAATGCAGAGCTGGCTAAAGGTGTGTTGTTTTTTCCGCTCTGTTTCTAATTCATGTTAAGTAGTTGGTCATCACTTTGGTCAGAGCTGCTGCTGTAGCTCTCTTAACTGTGAGTCACTGGATGTCGGCAGTGAGTTGGCTGTGAGATTGTAGGTGCTCAAGTGTTTATGCACCGGACTGAGTGTAAATCTGTAAAAGGGGAAAATCCTCGCAAGAGGTCTATGAGAAGGATGAGGGCCCAAGTCTAGGGTCTAAACAAAGCTAGGAGTGGTTTGGTATATTACTGAGTGCAATAATTGCATGCAATTCCTGCACTCAATATATTGTGTAAAATCCTCAGGTGGAATGGGATAAACCCACAGCTGGTCCTACTTGGCCTCTTGAAAACCATTCCATCGTTGTGCCAATCTCTATCTGGAAAAGGAAAAAAAAAAAAAAGGAAAACCATTCGATTATCTCTTGCCTTGGAGGTTGGGGTATGCTCCTAGTCAGGGCTTTGCAGCGACCATATGATGCAATAGTGAAGATCTGGGGCCTGGCACAACACTTTGGGAGGCTGAGGCGGGTGGATCGCTTGACCTCAGGAGTTGGAGACCAGCCTGGGCAACACAGCAAAACCCCACCTCTACAAAAATCACGAAAATTAGCCGGGTGTGGCAAGTGCCTGTAGTCCTAGGTGCTCAGGAGGCTAAAGTGGGAGGGTGGCTTGAGCCTGGGAGGCTGTGGTTGCAGTGAGCTGCGATCCTGCCACTGCATTCCAGCCTGGGCGACAAAGCCAGACCCTATCTCAAAAAAAAAAAAAAAAAAAAGATTTGAGCCCAATCTGGTTCAGACCTGTTTGGCTCAGTGAGCCTGGACTTGGGGGGAGGGGATATGTACTTTTTCAAAGAACATTTATTGTTACTATGTTTCATATTTGGAAAACAGGACAGAGACTTTTTTCTGGAAAAACAAACTGCACCAAGTGGAGTTTAGCAAAATGTTCTGAAACTAGTGCTTCTCAACCAATAAAGCAGGCACAATGGAAACAGTAGGGCAAGGGCTTTTTCTTCTAGCGAAACAGGTGGCCTTGTTTTGATGTGGGTTTGTAAAGCACTAGTGGTCTAATAGCATGGGCTCCTTGAGCTCCACCTCTGAAGTTTGTTTTCTCAGTCAGGATCCCAGCCAAGAACGTTCCCTGTGAGCCCCAGAACCTAGGGTACATAGAAAGGTCCAGAAGGTTCAGACTGGGGGGTGGGTCCAGACTAAGGTAGACTTCTGGGACATTCCGTGAAACTCTAAGCAAAGTATTGTATAAAAACCATCATCCAACCCTAAGCCTCTCCCCTGGTCCAGAACAAGGCCCAGTCCATAATGCCCATCCCTTTACGCCTCAGGGTTTTGTAGGCCAGAGCTAACCTCTGAGGAGCCCCACTCCCTGCCTGCCCTGAAGCAGCCTGTGCTCTTTGGAAAGGGGAATGTGTGGGAGGCTTTTTGAAGGACCCCCAAAAGGTTTCCATGGTCACATTTCTCCCCCACCCACTCGAATTGGCTTCAGTCTTTCTCTGCTGCTACCTGGCAAGTGGAGGCTGAAATCGGCCATGACCTTAGCCCCTGCCTTCTAGGGGCTATTCCGTAATTCCTGGTTGTGGAGGATGGCTCAGTCATGCCCAGCCTTAGTCCTTTTTCTTTGTTTTTCACAAACAAGCAAAACTCCCTAGAAGTTTGGACCTAGGATGCGAGAGTAGGGTAAAGGGGCCCAGCCTGGCCCAGGCTGTGCTCAGTGCGGTGGGGAGGGGGTACAAGTATAGCACGAGGCCGAGTGAGCAGCAGGCGTGGTTCCTAAATGGGGAGGCAGGCCACAAGACAGGAACCAAAGGCGCACATGTCTAGGCAATTGTGGTGTCGTCTTTAGGCTTGACTGGGACTTTATTTCTTTTGAGCCAAACTGCTCTTTCTCCTCTGTTGCCCTTTATTTATTGCTGGGTGAGATGGGCCTTTACAGATCCCAGTGTCGAGGAAGTAGGGTTTTTCCTTCTTCCTTCTGAGGTTCCAGCATTTCATTCATTGAGTGCACTTCTCTATGAGCCAAGTTGATTGGGAGTAGCTTACCTTAGGCCACAGAGCTGTCCTACTGGATCACGATTGACTCGGAGTGGCCACCAGCACTCGCTTTTTTGGAAATGGAAGAGGTCTGTGTTTCAAACTGTTGGGCTTCCTGGAAGGTCGCCAGACCCCGTGCAAACAGGCCGAGAGAGGGACGGCTGGTAAGTGGTGGTGCTACCTCAGTTCACACTCGAATTCACTGCACTAGAAAAGCTGGCCCTGTCCTGGCCTTTGCCTCCTCTCAGTTCCTCAGCACCATGATGAAGTCACACACTGCCACCTGCCCATGGGGAAGATCATGAGGGAAAGCCAGGCACAATGGTGTGCACTTGTGGTCCCAGTTACTTGGGACTGGGCTGAGGCAGGAGGATCGCTTGAGTCCAGGAGTCCAAGACTGTAGTGTATAAAGATCTCGTCTATGAATAGCTACTGCACTCCAGCCTGGGCGACACAGCAAGACCCCATCTCTAAAAAGAAAAACAGGCCAGGTTCAGTGGCTGATCTCTGTAATCCCAGCACTTTGGGAGGCCGAGGCAGGCAGATCACCTGAGGTCAGGAGTTCGAGACCAGCCTGACGAACAAGGAGAAACCCCCGTCTCTACTTTAAAAAAATACAAAATTACCCGGGCATGGTGGCGCATGCCTGTAATCCCAGCTACTCGGGAGTCTGAAGCAGGAGAATCACTTGAACCTGGGAAGCAGAAGTTGCGGCGAGCCAAGATCGCGCCATTTTACTCCAGCCTGGGCAACAAGAGCGAAACTCCGCCTCAAAAAAAAAAAAATGAAAAAATCATGGGAGAACACCCACCTTGCCTTCCCTCAGTAGCTCAGCTCTCAGGTCCAGCTTGCAGCCGTCGTGGTTTTGTGCAAAGCAGCTGAGTGTCCCTCTGTTAATGTGTGCAAACCATGGTGAGAACTGAGCCTGGATCTCAAGACCTTGCGTATGCTAGACATGCTCAATGCCTGCAGAGAGCTCATCTCTCACCATCTGTCCTGAGGTCACAGCCGCGCTACGGATCTAGCCACCTCACCAGTGCCTCTTAAGGCTAGGGTCCTGTCAGTAGTCTTGTGGTGGGTTGACTCTCGCATCCTGCCTTTGTCCCTTCAACATTCACATCCTTAGCCCTGAGAGGGGACAGCCACTTTAGACAAAAGAAGGTATTTCAGGGTCTGGCACAGTGGCTCTTGCCTGTAATCCCAGCAGGTTGGGAGGCCAAGACAGGCAGATCACTTGAGATCAGGAGTTCAAGACCAGCTTGGCCAACATGGTGAAACCCTGTCTCTACTATAAACACACAAAAAAATGGCTGAGCGTGGTGGATCACGCCTGTAATCCCAGCAGTTTAGGAGGCCGAGACCGGCGGATCACTTGAGGTCAGGAGTTCAAGACCCATGTGGCCAATATGGTGAAACCCCGTCTCTACTAAAAAATACAAAAAAACTAGCCGGGCGAGGTGGCGGGCGCCTGTAGTCCCAGCTACTCTGGAGGCTGAGGCGGGAGAATGGCGTGAACCCAAGAGGCGGAGCTTGCAGTGAGCTGAGTTCCGGCCACTGCACTTCAGCCTGGGCGACAGAGCTAGACTCCGTCTCAAAAAATATATATATAAAAATTAGCCAAGCATGGTGGCGGGTGCCTGTAATCCCAGCTACTTGGGAGGCTGAGGCGGGAGAATCGCTTGAACCTGAGAGGAGGAGGTCATAGTGAGCTGAGATAGCACCACTGCACTCCAGCCTGGGCAACAGAGCAAGATTCCATCTCAAACAAAAATTTAAAACATTGGCTGGACGCAGTGGCTCACGCCAGTAATCCCAGCACTTTGGGAGGCCAAGGTGGGTGGATCACGAAGTCAAGAGATCAAGACCATCCTGGCCAACATGGTGAAACCCCATCTCTACTAAAAATACAAAAAATTAGCTGGGCATGGTGGTGCGTACCTGTAGTCCCAGCTACTCAGGAGGCGGAGGCAGGAGAATCTTTTGAACCCGGGAAATGGAGGTTGCAGTGAGCGAAGATTGCACCACCGCACTCCAGCCTGGTGATAGAGTGAGACTCCATCTCAAAAAAAAAAAAAATTAGCCAGGCATGGTGGCACACACCCGTAATCCTAGCTACTCAGGAGGCCAAGGTGGGAGGATAGCTTGAACCCAGGAGGCGGAGGTTGCAGTGAGCCAAGATCATGACACTGCACTCCAGCCTGGGTGACAGAGTGAGACTCCATCTCAGAAAAAAAAATGGCAGGAAGGGCCTGTTAGAGGAGTACGAAGAGCAGACTGGGATTTGGGGTTCACAGGCCACAGCCACTTTGCAGACAGTATTTGGCTGGCACAGTGTCCTAAAACAACTTTACCCAACATTCAAAACTTGGGCATAAGAACAGATTTCTTTTTCTTTTCTTTTTTTTTTTTTTGAGGTGGAGTCTCACTCTGTCACCCAGGCTGGAGTGCAGTGGTGCAATCTCAGCTCACTGCAACCTCCACCTCCTGGGTTCAAATGATTCTCCTGCCTCAACCTCCCAAGTAGCTGGGACTACAGGCACGTGCCACTACGCCTGGTTAATTTTTGTATTTTTAGTAGACGGTTTCGCCGTGTTGGCCAGGTTGGTCTCAAACTCCTGACCTCAAGTGATCCACCATCCTCGGCCTCCGAAACTGCTGGGATTATAGGCATGAGCCACCGCCCCCATAAAAACAGATTTCTAATCTCTCAAAAAATGAGAAAGTCTGCCACCATTCAGTTCACATACCTGCATTAGCACTGTGGGAGAAGCTCAGTAGCATTTCCCCTTTTAGGCCAGGCACAGTGGCTCACGCCTGTAATCCCAGCACTTTGGGAGGCCAAGGTGGGCGGATCCCTTGGGCCCAGGAGTTCGGGACCAGCCCGGGCAGCATGGCAAAACCCCATCTCTACAAAAAATACAAAAATTAGCCAGGCATGGTGGCGCTCACCTGTAGTCCCAGCTACTTGGGAAGCTGAGGTGGGAGGATGGCTTGAGCCTGGGAGGTCGAGATTGCAAGTAAGTTATGATCACATCACTGCACTCCAGCCTAGGTGACAGAGTAAGACCCTGTCTCAAAAGAAAGACAACAGGCCGGGCGCGGTGGCTCAAGCCTGTAATCCCAGCACTTTGGGAGGCCGAGACGGGCGGATCACGAGGTCAGGAGATCGAGACCATCCTGGCGAACACGGTGAAACCCCGTCTCTACTAAAAAATACAAAAAACTAGCCGGGCGAGGCGGCGGGCGCCTGTAGTCCCAGCTACTCGGGAGGCTGAGGCAGGAGAATGGCGTAAACCCGGGAGGCGGAGCTTGCAGTGAGCTGCGATCCGGCCACTGCACTCCAGCCTGGGCGACAGAGCGAGACTCCGTCTCAAAAAAAAAAAAAAAAAAAAAAAAAAAAAAAAAAAAAAAGACAAAAAAAAAAAAAAAAAAAAAAAAAAAAAAAAGAAAGACAACAAATTTTGTCCATTTAGATGAGATACCACGCCCCAGTTTGCTGCACTTCCACCAATAGGGGTAAAGTGTAAAAGGCCTTTTATCTACACACTTGCACCGTTTTTCCCATAGCAGAAAAACATTTCTATACCCCGCGTCCATCAAGAGGGAAAGCAAAAAAGTAAAGAGGGACCATACATTTTTCAGAAGAATAGGGACAGGAGTGTTTCTTCCTGGAAAGGGACTGCTTTGCGCCTCTGTGTTACCTTCCTGGCCCCTGTAGGCATTTGAGTTTGCAAATTCCTGTATCATATGTTGCCGCAAAGAGCCTGCACTGTATGCAGGGAGGTTGAGTGAAATCTTATTTTCATTGCGGGACAAGGAGAATCTCTGGAGAGGTCTACAGCAATGATAAGCTTAGACACCACCAGAGGCCCTTTGGTACAGTAACACCAGTTCCCTCCGTTTTTTGTGTAAAATCCTTGTATACACTGAGATAAACCTGCAGCAA